TTTTTCCTGGTATTGGACTCATCAGCCATGACTCATCGTCCATGAAATCATCAATCCGATGGTTAGGCGTTCGCGCACAATTTAGAAAGTCCCGGGTTCGAATCCTGTGAGGTGGAGGAGTCGTGGATGAGCACTGGTGATGGGGTCTCATACCAGGACGAAACGGCCGTCCAGTGCTTCCAGGTTTCTAATGGTGGTCTAACAATGATTGATTGATGATTTCAAATGTGTAAAAACACCAACCTTCAAAACTCTGCCCGAAAATAAAGTCAAATAGATGAAAAGCATTCACCAGTGTACTCTCAAGACATCAAGTGGATACCCTGACGTCTTTCATAGTGATCAATAAACAATCGAGTCCTCATCTTCTGAAATTTACCGAAGCTATCATCAACGAATGTTTGAAACCGAATTTATGTGTTAAAAACGAAACCGTAATAAGTCTTTCCTTATCCATTCTATTACTTCACTTTAACTCTTCCTCATGCTTTGATCACATCCTTCTCCCTTCTCATTAGTTCACAACTTCGATTCTAATTTCAACTCATACCAATTTTTCTTAATCTGATTTTAGTTACTTGATTACACAACAGTACGACTTTCGTTAAAACCTTTTGATTTCCAATCACTAGTTCGATATTCTAGACCTTTTCCTCTAATACTTTATATATCTGTGACATATTTTTTTGTATGACCTTAATAATTTTATTGATTACTTTGCAACATCATGATGATACATCCATTCTAATCACCTTCATATTTGTTAAGTATGTCCATTTCTAAGATAATTTTGATTGAAAAACATTGTGAGCAGCTGACAAGGAGAACCTGACGAAACCAAGCGAGGTGCAGGAGTCGTGGATGCGCACTGTCACTGATGAGTCCCATATCAGGACAAAACGGCCCTCTTTCAGTGCTTTCAGGTTTCAAATGGTGTTCTAACAATCAGATTGATTGATGATTTCAAATGTGTAGAAAAAACACAAACCTCCAAAACTCTGCCTGAGAATTCATATTATTCTATACTAATCTTTCCTTTGAATCTCTTTAAAATTGAAATTAAGAAAAAAAACGGAACTATGTGTATGGAAACAAACAATCAATAAACCAATCAAATTCTAGCATTCCTTTTGCGGTATTTTTTATCGATCCATCTTGCAAAAAAAAAGAATGAAAGTTAATCCTTATGATTGCCAAACACCAAATGTGTTTGTATGGCCTTAGGATATTTATAATTACAACAGGGTAGACTTAGAATGAATATTGCTTTTTAAAAATAAAAAAATAAGTAGGTAAATTAATTTCAATAAGAAAATAAAAAAATTATAAGGCAGTTGGGAAAAAAAGTGAACAACATTGTGTACTACTAATAATTTTTAAAAAAATGAATTGATTAAAACAAATTCAGTTGATCAAAAATTTTAACAGGAAATCAATTTAGGACTGTTTTTGAACCTTGGGAATCATAAAAAGTCATCGAGCATTGAATTTTGGTTTCATCGTAAGATGAGACTGTCGAGGATGTTAGACCTTGAGATCACATTTCCCACCAGGAAAATCCTTAGCTGTGCTTGGTTACTGCGTTATTTTAGTGTGCTATTTTTGTGACTGTCCCAAGGACGTCTCTATAGAGTATAAATAAACGAGATTTGTGTGTCTGGATTCATTGTGTGGTGCCAGGGTGTTTGTAGAATACAATTTCCACGCTATATCAAGACTTCTTGCTGATACCTTTTGGTCAAGCGATCAGAGTAGCCTACCTGGACACTGGTTCATTGTTTTGCCGTCGTTATTCGACTAAGGTGAACCCGTAATAGTCTTAAGCACACCTAGAGACGAGATTCATCTGTAATGTTCACTATTAAACTCTTTCAGTGAATCAAAAACCTGAGAATTTCTCAAGATGAAGATAAACCATTTAAATGAAATCAAATTTATCTGTTCAATATAAATTTATCGAACTGTGTGTGCACGTCTGGCTTATTTTGTCTTACTATAAAAGCTTAGTCATGCTTCATCGAATTGAGTTGGCTTGTGGTGTGATAATTTACTGCGTGTTCTTAAGCTCGGTAATTAACTCGTCCAGACAATCGTTACTAAATAGCGTCTGATGATTTATAAATCAGTTGAATTCGTAGTGATCAATACGTTTATTCAGAACACACCACAAAGCGAAGCGGAGAAGCAGTGAATAAAACGAAGGAAGCGAATGGATAGGCGAAGCGCGTTGGAGAAGGCGAAGGGCCAACTCAAAGAGATAGAACATTACTAAGAATATATAGTCAGACAAAAATAAGGCAGACATACGACAAACGAAATAGGCGTGCACACACATGAATAAAAGCGACGAATGATTGACAAAGTCAAATGACAAGTGAGACATGTCATGTGAGCTCATACAAACCCGACAATAATCAGAACGAACAGTACATATAAATTGTTGCTATGCAAATCGCTTGGTTAAATAAATTAATCGAAAGGGCTTAACCAAGTTAGATGTTAGCGAACTGGAATATATGTGGAGGCACTATAGGCTCACTCGCCTTCTCCACTCCACTTTGATTGTATGCTTTTCATTATCCTGTCTGCATGACCGATTGCCTTAAATAATGAATACGTATCCAAAGCCAATAAACAACTTATTTGCACACAAAATCATTTGACTGGCTACGTACGGACAACATTAAGCCTAAAAAAAATGGTACATAGCTTAAAGTCGCCAAGACATGATCATTATCCAACTTATCTCAATACAATAGTAAATGGCTTCATAGACGATAGTCACGTTTCAACGATATCTATCTAACCTTCTATAAACCTATTCTTTTGACATTTTCTCAACTTCTTAGTCAATAAAATTACAATTTTTGCCTCATATTTTTCTCAAGAAAAAAGTGGTGTTAGAAAACAACCAAAGCATAATTTATTTTTTATCCTATCGGAATTTATTGACTTTGTGAAAGAACTCACATTTATTATTGAATCAATAATCACCAACTTCCATTGAAAACATGAACCACCATTATAATTCCAAAGGTCTCAGGCGGCAATTTCATTCTAGTGTGGAGCTCGACAGCAATGCGCAAGCTGGAACCGAACCTAAGACCTTCTGTCTCGCATACGAACACTTGACCTACAGATCACCTAGTCAGTATCCAACGATGTTACTGTCTAACTTCAACCAATCCACAATATCACTCGACGTTCTTTGATTGTCTTCGCTAGTTAACTGATTCACATACAATATGGTTTAGCTCCACTGGTCACAGTCATTTACCTGAACTATAGATACTTCTACTTGACACTATACTCACTGGTAAACTCATGATAACAGTCGCTGTACGATTGTGACGATTGTTAAATTGTATTGAATTCATGAAAAAACCACACATTGACAATCATCAACTGTTACGGGTATGAGGGCGGTTGTCACTTCCCGGCTGCCCACACCGTGGAAGGTTGTTTCTTGAGAAACCTGAAAAGTAGGATAGATTAGTGTTGGTCTTGGAGACCTGGGAGCGTGACCGCAGAGCCCAAGGGACAACTGCTTGAGGTCGGTCAAGCACGGCCTTTTTATGAAAGGATTTTTGAGTATTAGCTCCGCTCTTGAAAGCCCTTAGTGGGCACCCTTACCCAAGGAGACGGAAATCCGTGAGGTAGGGTGAGGTGTGACATTTTTAGGGTCGACCTTTTCTAACCCTTCCCTCCTTGTGAGAAGGCAGCATCGCTGGTTATCCGAGAGGAACACCTTACTGCTGTCACACCCCTCCATCACAGTCAGCAGTACGACTTCGCCCTCAGACCTTGAGTAGGCGCTTTTAGTCTCATCGCTCTCCAATCGACCTGCTTGGCATGGTAGAACCTTCAGGAACATGTGTTCCAGCCAATATAGCTCGGTTGGGTCATCACGATAGGCAACCCCGACCACCACGTCAAGGTAGTAGCTTCGGTCGGGGATAATCATCAACTACAACTCAGTAATCTATATATATTTCATAAAAATTCCTTTCATCTTTTAAACCTCAATCAATTTTTATATCAACACTAACAATAAAAAGTAAATAACTTTTCCTGTAAAATTCTTATCTCAATTCAATCAATCCACAAAGAAATAAAAAATTTTTTTATCCTAAATAACAATAATAATAATTATAATGATTATTTCAATAGATATAACAAGAAAGACATTTTCTTTTTTTGCAAACACACAAGGAAAAAACACACATTATCGATTTTTATTCTTCTTCAGAAAATGAACAAATTATTTTTCCCCAATTTATATGTATATATATATATATATGTTCATAAATATGTACATTATTTCAATGAAACATTCTCTAACAAAATATATGTATACATGTTTGTCAGTTTGTTGTTGTAGCAATTATTTTCATTGAAAATAAAGCAAACCTCATTAATTATTTCTTTTATTATTTTTTTTAAAAATTTAATAATAATAATAATTTATTTTTTTTTAAAAAAAAATCATTTTTAATTATTTTCACTAATAACCAATGTGTTTCTCTATCGCCATTTACAACAAACCCTAGTCAATCAATCAATCAATCAATCAATCAATGATAGATAATAAATATTTTTTTTTTCAAATATCAATAATAATTAGTTGTTTTAAACAAACGAAAAAAAGAAACAGGAAAATTCATTTCATTCAAATTAGTACCGACAATCAAAAAATCAATATTTTTCGCTGAAACTACAAAATTTCAAAAATCAACCGAAAAAAGCTTTTTCAATGTAACAAACAAATATTAAAACAGTTAATGTTACCTAATTAAATATGTACATAGCTTTTGCTTTTTTTGAAGAACGGGGAAAGATTAATTTAGTTTGTATATAAATTACAAACTTTTTGTACACACTGTAATGTGTTTAAAAAAATATCTAAAGAATTTCGTTTATTTTCTTGCCTTTAACAAACTTATATTACAAAAAAGCCAAAAATAATAAAAATAATAATAATAATAATAAAACCAAATAATTTACAGTTGAAAATGATTTTCATCAAATGTGTTACCATTATTATGATTATAATTATTGTCTGAATCACTATCGGTATCTTCTAATTTATGCTTAGAACCGGGACGTAGAAGAGTAGGTGTACGTGAATTGTGATTAGATGGATTATCGAAACTTTGAGCATGAGATAAGCATAAAGCAGAGGCATAATAATCATTAGATTGTATAGTATGTTGACTAGCAAATTTTCTAATCGAAGTTAAATTGTTCAGAATATTATTACTATGATTATGATTATGATGATTACCACTACCACTACTACTACCACTACTATTACTATTACTATTATTATCATTATTAGTAAAATTATAATTGACTTTTCTAAATCTTGTCGGTAAAGTGGTCACTCGAAGTGTACCTATGCTGTTGCTGTTGCTGTTGTTGTTGTTGTTACTACTACTACTCTTATTATGATGATCATGATTATAGTATTGACGCATATTTTCACGATGATTATACGCATCATAGAATAATTTACTTGTAATCGATCGACGACGATTCATTGTTAACGAATGTACAGGACATTTTAAATGATTCAACAACAAACTATAAGCATTCCGACTACGTAATTGACTAGTGGAATTATTCAATTCTGGTGATGGACAAAATTCCAATGATGGTGGAGATTGTTGTTGTATTCGATCAGTAGTAGTAGGATTCATTGCAACGCCAGTGGCTAAATTAATTTGATTTGATAATGATGAACAGATTGAATTATATCCTGTTTGATTTGTTGGATACATATATTTAAAATGTTGATTCACTGATACAATTGAATGATTTGTAGATGATGATGATGATGAAGAATTATGTGAAACACAATCACTATGTATTGATGATGATTTTTCTGTAACAGAACTTTCATCTTGTGATGATTGTGTTTCATCCGTGGTCGTGGTTGTTGTTGTTGTTGTAGGAATTATTTGTTCTGTTGTCTTCATTGATGACAACGACGGTCTGTATTGATGATTATGAATACTAGTTGATTGATGCTTATTCACCGTTGTCTCCTGGTCATTGATATCACTAGAAACAGAAGAACAACATGAAGAAATTGATGCAACTTGATTATTTAACAATTCATCATGTGTTTTATTGAAATGATTCTTTGTTTTAAGAATTTTATAATTTTCTAATTCAGCGGGAATTTTATCAGAATGCTTTTTCATCAATGAATTATTATTTTTACGTGTTAATGTTTGATTTCCATGTACTGGACATGATTGTAAATCTGCAGACCATTGTATATTAGAATTTTGTAATAAATTATATTCATGATTATTATTATTATTATTTATATGTTGTAATGGTAAAGTTTTTGTATGATTTTGTTCATCACCATTGATAATACCATTTTGATGATGTGAATTTAATAATATACAATTTGGTAAATTATAAGAAATATGTGGATTAGTTAATATTGCTGTACTATTTGAATGATCCCAATAGATTGAATCAATTTTTGGATAATTTGACAATGGTTTCATACTATTATTATTATCAATAGTAGTATTTGGCACTGTATCATAATTCAATTCCATTTGTTTTAATTTCATCATTCCATGTACAGGACATGGTTTTGATGTTTCAATGGAGATTTGATGAGTCGATGTATAAATTCCAGAAAATTCTGTAGTTGGATAACAACAATTAGTATTATTCCATTCAGTAAAAGTTTGTTGAGGTATCATGTTCAGTGGTTGTTGTTGTTGAGGTTGTAAACAAGTGGAAAAATTTAATGAAGAAATATTTGATGAAGGTTTAATTCCATTCGTAGCAATTAATAGTTTTGGTTCTGGACTATCACAAGTGACAAGAACACGATTTTCACAATTAGTAACTGTTCCTTGTATAAGTGATGCTCCTCCAGCTAGATGGGTATCGTTTGGTGATGAGGATGAGGATGGTGGTGTATTCAGTGTAGGAATAGTGACAAGTTGCACTTCACGTGTTGCATTTGTAGGACAACAGAAAATATTCAATAAACGATTTGTTTCTACATTCCTTTTTGGTGATGTACTTACACCGGTCTCTGTATTGTTCATATTAACATCTAAACTGGTCATAGTCGTAGTTGTAGTAGTCATTGTTGTAGTAGTCACCTGTGTATGATTACTATTATTATTATTTGCATTTACACAAACTGCATCATCTTTCACATGATTTGTCAATTGTAATTCATTTTTCTCAACAATTTTCTGTTCGTCATTAGTTGTAATTAACAGACTACTCACTGAATCATCTTTACTAACATTATTCTTTCTCTTATTATTAACATTACGGTGATGATGATGATTATGACGACTACCATCAACGCATTTAAACCGACATCTACATACAGATCCTGATTTATGCAAAGAACAATTTTTCTTATTCACGCCATCAACTGTTTGTGAATCCGTGGATGTATCTAATGACCTTGAATGTGGTTCACAACAACAAAAAATCCCAATACCAATTAATGCTAAGATTACAAATAAAATAACCATTGCAATACCAGCATAAATCCAATTCTTTGTTTCACCACGAATACCAAGCAGCACAAATGCTCCATGCATTAAAGAATTCTCATCACTAGGATAAAGTATTTTACCGTCAGCATTTAATATATTCACACCAAACACCGTACGATATTGATCATTTAACAAACAACTCCATAAACCTGTATGTTCACCTGATGCAGAAGAAATAAATAGATTCGAATAAAAATTCGATCCTAATTGACCATAAATAATAGTTTGTTGTGATGTATTCTGTACAAGTTGATTATCTTTATACCATAAAAGATGATCTATTTTATTTGAATGATATTCACATCGTAAAAGCATTGTTTTACCATAATGAAATGTGAAATTTTGACTTGATGTAAAAATTTGTGGTGTACAATGTAAATCGGAGAATTGTACCGAAGTATATTGATTATCCGTTGAGAATAAACGTTTACCTTTTAATTTATCTGGTTTAAAACAAATTGGTTCATTAATTTCTACATTACCATGATGATCAGTTTTATTTTGTTTAAATTGTAAATTTTTCGATGATTTTTGTAAAAACCATACTTTTAACCAACTTAATTTACAATCACATAACCATGGATTACCACCAATATAGAATTCTTTTAAATCATTCATATTATTTAATGCTAATTGACTAGACATATGTAAACTAGTTAATCCAGTATTACTTAAATCTAATAAACGTAAATATGTCAATGGTTTCAACAAATTCGATTCAAATGTAATTCCATTTGATTTCACTGAATTTAACCATAAATATTGTAATTTACTACCATGTAAATTATCAAAAAATGCATCGGGTATTAAATCAATTGGATTTTCAGCTAAATTTAATGAACGTAAATTTGGTAAATCCAACAACAATTCCACTGGAAATCCTTTAGATCCTATTTTTAATGAATTATTACGTAAATTAATATATTTCAATGAAATTAATTGACGAAATGTGTCGGATTCAATTTGTTTCACTTGACTTGATTCAATTTGTATAGTTTCCAAATGAATTAAATGATTTAATGAATTTCGTTTGATTTTTACAATGGATTGATGTAGAATACGTAATTCTATTAAATTAATTGGTAAATCTATGGGGATTTGATTAAGTTTATTAGTCTCGGAATCACATAAAGCTTTTTTCCATTTAAAATCGGATTCATAAAATATACTACATCCTTGTACAGCTTCTACATAATGTTGTAGTAAGAATTTGTTGATTAACGAAAATATAAGATAAAATGAACAAATAAATGATGAGGATGGTGATGATGATGTTCTCGATGTGAATACATATGACGAGGAGGATGAGGAGGAGGATGTCGGCGATAGTGAATATGTTAAATAGTAGTAAATTGATGAAGTAATTTTAATGAATAAATTTGAATAAATTCGCATTGAATACAATTCACCAGTATTAGAGGTATTTAGAGAGAAAATAGTACAATTGCGATAAACTAAAAGTTAATTCATTGAAGAATTAGTGTCATTTTCTTTGAAGTCTGATTAGTTGTACATGATGAATTGTTGTTTTATCCTGCTAATGTTATTATGGTATGTTTCTGATGAATGGCCATTATTTTAAAATATTCATATTGAATACAACAATTGGATAACAAAAGTTTTACCGATCTTGTCAATATATAAAACAAGAAGTAGTTGTTTTACTTGAATATGCATGTTAATCAAATAAACCGCAAGGTCATCGCATTGGGATGAGAATTTAATTAAGAAGTGGGAGGTGTAGGCAAAACTTCAAGATGTCAACAGAAAATAGATTGACTAGACAGATTCAAACTGACAGGCTTAAACCTGTCTATGATATAAATTGACCAATCAAATGTATTGGGAATGTTTGTCTATCCTACTAAAGATTATAAATTGGAGAAACCAATAGAAATCAAAAATTCCATAACTATTGCCTATGGAAAATAAACTTAATCAATAACGACAACAACAACAAAAATGAATTCGTTGTTTGTACACTAGCTAGAAAAAAATGTAGTCTTCATTCTCTAATCAAGCAGAAAGTTAATATTAGGACATTTTGAAAATTTGCATTACGGGGTTGTTGTGAAGATTGTTAAGTTACACATTTTTGAAACCATGAACCAATCAATGTTAGACCACCATTAGAAACCTGGACGGCCGTTTCGTCCTGGTATGGGACTCATCAGTGGCAGTGCGGATCCACGACTCCTGCACCCCGCAGGATTTGAACCCAGGACCTTCGGCATTGTAGGCGGGGTGCAGGACTCGTGGATGCGCACTGCCGATGAGTCCCATACCAGGACGAAACGGCCGTCTTTCAGTGCTTCCAGGTTTCTAATGGTGGTCTAACATTTAACGATTCATGGTTTCAAGAATTTTGAAAATTGTTTCTAGAATAGAAAATACCATCCTCCCTCGCTTCGACATTCTCACATTCGTTTGTAGATGTGTGAACAGTAGACATGTTTCGATCGAGCCTCAATGGGCACAGATGTTAGAAAGTTTGTGGCGATGGGCAGGAAGTCGGACGTGATTGGAAATATGTGACATTAGGTTAGGTTTTTCTGAAACGATATGATTCGGATCTGCAATTCATAGGATTGAGTATAAATAAATTACAAGCCTGTTTAGTTCTTGAGGGTGATCAGCTACCATAAATCAAACATTAGCGTAGTTTCAGTAACTGCTGTGCTGACTCCCACCTACCAGTTACACAAATTATAAGCCCCAACTACTAATGGATTAGTGAACATAATTTTACCTGTCAACGTTTATCTGTTCGTTATTCAAATTGTGTAACGAATAATGCTGAACATCCAACGAGAACAGAGCTGTAAACTAGTAGTTCCCATTATTCCATCGGACTCGTAAACCACGGTTGCTGTGACAAAACTAGAGAACTAAAGAAATCCTTCAAACGACCTTTCTTGAAGTGACCGAGAGATTGTGAAAGCCTAATACTCTAACAATTACAAAACGTACATCTGTAAACCAACTTTACAAAAACCCTACTTAGTGATTGTAGACAAACTTGCTTCAAAAACCCAATAAGGTAAGGAACTTGTCGACAACACAAATAAACCTATCTATCTAATACACACATGATTCTTCAAAAATCCGAACGAATATCACGGTTATTTATTAAACTATTTTCAGTTGACTTGGTAAACCCGAATCCTAAAGGTTTCATAGCAAGTAGGTTAACCTACAAATCATCGCATACGTACTGTACTCTATGGTCGGAAAAGTCATTCGGTAGGAAAAACAATAATAATGACCAGATAATAATTAAAAAGCGATATAATTTTTTATTTTATTTTTCAATTAATCAACAGTGAATTTTAAAATTAAAGACAAAATAGATCTTCAGTAAATAAATTACTGTAGTGTGCACAATACACATCAACATTAGTAAAAAACAAAAATGAGAAAGTCACGAAGAATAACTAGCCTTGTATGCAAATACAAAAGGGATTATGCTTGAGAACACATATATGTATATATAAATATATAGGATAAATATTTACGATGAAGAGTTTATCTATGATTCCTTTAGTTATCAGAACCAAGTTGAATCATTTTCTTTTTAGGATCTTCATATATTTCATTTGGTTGTACAGATGCTAACATAACTAAACCGTATGTTAACACAGAAACTAAAAGAATGGAAACAATCAATGATGACCAGACACCGATACTGAAGTATCCAACACAATCTGTTACATCACCAAATACACCACCTTTTACGCCAAACGGTTGGACCTAAAACAAAGAAGATAACACTACAGCGATTGACTAAGTTGGAAATAATAACAAGCATTTAATTACAAGCTGTTGTTGAGTCTTTACACGAGCTAGTGGAGAAAATTTGTAGCTCAGGCGGATGATTGTGATAGAGTTTCATTCTCTGACGATGGATGTTTCGGTTATAGAGCTTTCATTGTCCTTCTGAACAATATCTTCAGCACAAACTTCATATAGGATGAAACTCCATCACAATCTCTAGATGAGCCTACATAAAACATGGTTTTTAAATGATTTGAAGTAATTGAAAATCCCAATTTTAGATCGATTAGATGCACTGTACACGGTAAGAAACATTTAACTATCCTAGTGGTCAGCGTCAGCTCATTATTCAAGGCGTTCGATTTTCAATCGAAATTGCAGGTTATAGCCGTATTAAATATGTTTCGGTTTGGGAAACTGGACAGTATTGATAGCTTACATACGGCCTGGACTCATAGCTGGTAAACGGGTTAATCAGGTTTAGTTGAATACTTAAAACGCAAAAGCAAGCATTGGACAGAATATTGTGCCACAAACTTAACTCCGCCTGTAGACCTTTCAGAGCTACTACCGGTCCCAAGCCAAGAAAAAGAGGGAGGGTTGGGAATGGAGTTGGCGACCAAGTCCCGCAAAAAAACGAAATCGCTAAAAAACCACTAACAAGAAAAATAATTCAAACCATATAAACTCTGCTCTGGGAGTTGGGTCTTCATTTAGAAGAATTATGACGTTTCATCATGAAAGCCGAGTTCCTTCGGATGTCATGAGGCTGATGTCCCTTCTGAAAACCCAGAACCCTTCCAGTGTGGGCAGCCGGGAAGTTACACCTGCCATCATACGCATAAAAGCACATGAGACCAAACTGGTCACAATCGAATCCTTTCTACTCCTAATAACTCTCTTATCTCCTCCACTAACCCTTCCTTCGATCGTTTGTCACCTCGCGCCGCTGAAGCAAACGGGTTGAGTTCACGAAACATTATTCTTAGTTTCCTGAAACGCCGTACTAAATTACATATTGGAGCTTTTATTGTTCGAACCTTGTGCCGAATAGAGCAACAGTTTTCATTAGCTAGAACTCTAGAATCCCGTGCAATCCATGTATGTTGCGTCTCGGAACGCGCACACAGGATCCTAGTAAAATCATCAATTTGATTTTACATTGTCAAAATAAAGAACCAACTCGATTTACTGTTCGTGTATCTGGAAGCCCTGATACTGCTTCCGGAGTCTAACTGGTGTAAGTATAGCATTAAGTCCTAGAGCAGAACTAGCTCTCTTAGACTGGATCCCAATAGATAGTTGCTTGTGCGCTGTCCGACTGAACGGGACATCAAGAATTCCGAAAGATAGGGAAACTTGCCGTTGCCTTTTGGTTGTCTCCGCCTACGCTCTCACTGACGACTGCCCGTTGCAATTATGCTCAGATAACCACCTATTTCTAGCAAACACTAACTTTAAGCATAAAGAAAAACATCTGTTGACCTAGCGACCCCCAAAGTCGTCTCAAAGTTGGACCCAACTAGATCACATCGCCATCAACCACCGATGGAAAGGTTCGATAGAAGACTGTCGCTCGTTATGGAACACATGTTTAGACTCAGATCATGCTATAGTACGAGCGCGTATTTGTTTGCGTCTTACTGGACGAAGGAAAGACACTGTAAGGAAACCTCTCAAGGTTCTACCTAATGATAGCATAGCTAAGAATATATTTCAGGTAGATGATTCCCATTCGGAAGCAGGTTGGAATGATATCAAAAAGGCTGTGGAGACAGAAGTGATATCTGCTAGTAAGGTAAACCATAAGGCTAGAAAGCCGTGGATCTCAGTAACATCCACCGAATTGATAGACGCTAGTGAACTCATCCAACCTGGCACTAAACCTGATGAAGCGCGAAGTCAGCTTAGGCTCAGGCTGATAAAAAGCCTACGCAATGATCGCGAACAGTGGAGGGTGGCAAAAGCGATGGAAAAGGCAGTGGCGATAGGCAACAGCAGACAGTCGTTCGGCCTTATCAAGGAAACCGGTATTAGGAATCCGAATGTAAGTGAGACTATCTCGGAAAATGATGGGAGATTGGATCGATGGGCAGAACACTTCAGAGATCAGTTCAACTGGCCTTCAGCCACACTTCGGTTACCCATGATCTCCAGTCATACTGAATGGCAAGTCGACGTGGGCCCTCCGAATCTTTATGAAGTTGAAAAGGCTAAAGGAAATCTGAAGCGGAGGAGAGCAGAAGGACCTGATAGATTGACCCCTGAGATTTCTAAGGATGGTGGTCCAGTTTTACCAGTGAGATTGACTGAAATTTTAGGTAGGATCTGGGAACTAGGCGTAATACCAACCGGCTGGTTTCAATCACTGATTGTCCCAGTCTATGAGGACGAAAGTTCTCACAGAGGAATAAGTTCAACTAATATAGTATTGAAAATATTGGCCTCAATAATACTTCGACGCTTAACGAAAGCTCGTGAAGAGCAGACTAGAGAAAACCAGGCTGGTTTTCGACCTGGACGTGGATGTAGAGATCACATTTTCACACTATGACAGGTCCTGGAACACAGAGAGACGTTCAGACGTCCTACAGTATTGGTATTTCTCGACCTTAAAGGGGTATTCTACTCTGTTGGTCGTGAGGTTCTGTGGTAGTGTCTGTCATAGAAAGGTGTACCAAAGAAGTAAATTAACCTTATACAAGCCCTCTACTTTAAAACTACTGGTCGGGTGAGAGCTTATCGTGAAATGTCATCAGAATTCTTTACTTTAAGTGGTGCCCGCCAGAGATGTCCACTTTTCGCATTCTTGTTTGATGTTGACATTTACATGCTCCTTAACCTCGTCCGACTTTTCAGGAGTCGACTTTCTACCAGGAAAATCTGTTGCTGACTTAGAATATGCTGATGACATAGTTCTATTTGGTGAAGACGCTGACAAAATGCAGTCTTCCGACTATCCTGAACAACAGTGCAAGCATGTTCGGAATTCGGAATGCAAGATGTTGCTCCAAGAATGGCTTGTATTGGCACCTGAACCAGTAATGGGGAGTGAAGTAGTTGAGCGTGTCGACCGCTTCATTTATCTCGGCAGTCTCATCAGTGCTAATGGCTTGGTGACCGATGGAACCTCATCAAAAATACAGAAAGCTCGATAGGCTTTTGCCAACTTGCGTCACTTATGGCTTAGGCGAGATATCCATTCGCTAACCGAATGACGAGCCTAATGCGTATCAGTTCGCTCCATCCAACTTTACAGATATGGAACATTGCAAGTCAGAGTATAGGATATTCGTAGGTTATTAGTATTCGATTACAGATGTCCTGAAGCACTGCTCCTGTATCCTGGGACATGTGTTACGTATGCCTAACCACCGACTGCTTCAACAAGCGATGTGTTGTGGTGTAAGAGTAAGTTGCAAGATAGCTAGGGGCGGCTAAACCAAGACATGGTACGAATCCTTGAAGTCATCAACAGATGGACTGAGCCAGGTTGGTAAGTGTAAGTGTAAGTGTAGACTACCTGGTTAGGGTCTGCGAGACGATAGTAACCGACCTTGAATGACATGGCTCGAAATCGTTTGAAATGGTGCAGGTGCACCCACTCTTCGTGTTCTCTGAAATTCTAATCTTCCAAATTCCTCATCATCTATCTTTTTCTTTCTAAAGTTATCTCACCGAAGTACACTTCTTGAATTTCTTCGAACCCTAATCTTCTCCATTACCGCTAATACTTCTAGTGTCTTTATGACTGTGCGATATGAACTGACAATTGGGTCTCTGTGCTAATGTAGTATGGCAACCTGATGTACGTACGTACGAAGCTCAACGTTGCAACTGACTGGCAGAATGCTATGGTACTGGGTTTGAGCCACGGAGTGAACGTCAGATGTGACAAGCAGGTGCATTCACCTGACGAGTTCCAGGAAGGACAAAAACGCGTCGCGCGTCTCACATCTAGGGGATATTTAATCTACATTATTAAAACCACTGGGTTGTTTTATAGCTCACATAGAATCATAATAGACATCACGAATAACTGGGTTCCGACTGGACGATGAATGAATCATATTCCGAAAGCAGAATGACATTTTCGTCCATGTTCATTGTGCTGTGATACACAGGTAAGGTCAAATAACCCATCTATTAAAATCTAGTTTCGCCTAACAGTGACTGATCGAAAGTACTTTATCCTTGCTTACTTCTAATAATTACTTGAAACCAAGAACCTAAAGGATCAGTTAGACCAAAAACAGACTGAGGTATTAAATGTAAATTTAAACAGAAACTAGTTAAAAAAAGACGTGGTATGCAGAGAAAATAAGAATCAATCTCTTATCTCTAAGGAATAAGTCACTCATGAATAAATATTGAATCTCACTTTGACCACTAAAAAACATGCTGAAAGTTATACTTAATGAAAGTCTAGAATGGTAACTGTACATCTATTGGTAGAATGTAATCGAATAAATAGTGGTGTTCGCAAGTGCATAGGAAGTTGCGATTGTTGAAATTGATATCAAAACCCTTTTGAATAGCTATAAAAATATTACTTACCTGTATGCTACTAAATAGGATAGAAACCGAACTCCCTGAACCTGATGGCATGATCACTGGTGCGACTGGAGGCTTCGTGCATTTGTAACCAAGACTGATTGGGGCTTCAGCCCATTTTATGACTAAGGGATATCCAGGTACATTGATGCACGACTTGGAATTAGGCTGGCATTTGATATCAATCGACGATTCAGATACACTCCAGTAACGTCCAGACTTTCTAAAACTCAAGCTGATAAACATTAGCATATGAGTAGTCGCATGTATTTACCTAACATTAAGATTAGAGATTTCCCCAACATTGGATGAAGTGAAAACGAGAAACGAATCAGGATCAGCACATTTACTGAGTGGAGAAAAGGACAGTGAACTCGCCGGAATGGGTACTACACTAGCTGTTTTACCGTTAACAAATTTTATGGAAATCGAGCGCGCAAAGAATGCCAAGCAGCCAGACACATTGAAATAAACGTAGTTAGCCCTAACAATCAAAAAATGGAATTATCACCATGTATATCATTACCCCTGAGCTGTACACAAACTCGTTAGCTCACAAAACAATAGAACTAAGACGACTTTATAAAGGTCCATACAAACGAAACGGATTTTATTGAACGGGCGCCTCAGACTCGGATTGATGGCAATGCTCAATAGTTACTGTTTCGACATGTCCAAATGGTTCCAATAATTGTGGACGGAAAGGAACAGGATTTCGCTTAACGGGCTTCCATATGTAGTAGCAATCAATCGCCGATGTCTCCAGATAGGAACTTGGGTATATTCAACTAGTAGTAGGTATTTTTGTAACAGTCAACATAAGGCTGCAGATCATATGGTACTAGAACTCGTGGCTCTTTTAAAGTTTGAAGCATCTCTAAAGAAGGGCGGCCTAAATAATATACAGAGTCCAGGTATGTCTCAGGTGAACTACTTTTCACTTTGAAGTGTTAAAATATAATCCGTTATTATTCGCCCGGCTGTGAAGTTGGGCAAGATCCTCCTAAAGATACTGGTTATTGCCTTGGCTGCAAATTTCTCTCCATCAATTAACACTCTCAGCGGTAACTAATAATTGAGATGCTGAGGAAGGTTATCTGTGTGCTACGAATGCACGTAAACACGTCATTTTGATATGCTTGAATTATTACGTGTTTAGCTTAGTTGGAATACGAGAGACAGGATCGAGAATCCGGCAACACGATAGGCTACTCTAATCTGATTGTCCAAAACCCCCATTGAGTAAAAGAAATAGGCATGATATGAAGTAGAACATGAATCCTACAATCATCTTGAAGTACGAGGTCCGAGTTGAGAGGAGAATCAGGATCCCGGACCAAGGATCCAGTTCTGGGTCATAAAACGTTACAGATAACGCGTATTTATACAGATAGGTCGAATGCAAAACAACATTGAGGTTCGTGACACTGACAATTATGAAGACCGATAGGAAGAAACATTGAAGTACGTGTCTATCACATTGACCAGTAGGAATTGATCAGTAGAATCGGACTTAGAAAAATAATACCCTTAGGATATTTTATGGATTTCCTAGTGTAGTGAAAGAGAACACAGGTGGGGCAACCGAATTATATTTAGCGAAATTACAGAGTTACTCAGTAAAATCGGAAAACCATATCGTAAATCGTTAATTTGCAAAATATCAGTTCATCCTATCGAACTGGACTGTTCCTGTTGCCAAACATCAATCCATTGTCACTATTCATGCGTTTCATACAAATTCCATTGTTTTCTAACTCTTCGTTTCTTGATCTTTCCCCATCTCCCGCTGCCAGACATTACGTTGACGATCACGTCATATACTACTTATAAGTAGCTCACACCAAACTAGCACTGTGTAAATTTAAAAGATAAGTGAACGCAATACTGACCTCCAAGGAACTCTAATAGAAAACTCGAACCTCATTCAGTGGAATCAACGTATTTCGTTTTCAGAGTTGTACATGAGTGCTGCTAGTACTGGAAAGGCCCAACACGCAATACTAACTGCCACCACTGCATAAGGTCAACTTTTGCAAAACTTTAGCTAAGAGGAAAGAGCCCGTCGATAATAAACAAATAGAGAAATCTATCTTGGTGACATTAGTGTTGGACCTAATTTTCGCGGCTTTTTGAAGAACCAACTAGACTTGTAGTAACTGTCTGTACTGAAGATAATTTTTCCAAGCTATGGAGAGGATTACATGCACGTCATTAAGCATCAGAACGTGCTAAAGAATGGTGACTGTTTTCAAGGAAGGAAGGTTTCTTTAGGATCTCAATAATTATGAGTAGCAATAGTCTTACTCTTTTATGTTTTCAGGATAGTGTCGAGTTTATTCTATTCTTTCGTTCAAGTGATCTTTCAGGTTCTCTCCTTTGAGCTAGTCTAAAAGGAACGGCATTTTTCTTCAAGAAGTGAGGTATGATATATGGGTCACTATGAAACGGGACATTTTGGGCATAACAGTGTTACACCCATATCCTATTCCGAAATAGAGGTGCAGGAATATTTAGAAACTGCTCAATTCCTAAAAGTTCGAGTCTGCGTTGTTCTAAAGGGCTGCTACATATACATTGTTTTTCTCTGTTTTCACAGTGGACATCGAATTACAAGCCGTTTTAGAACGGTCTCGTGAATTTCTAAGATCACTAATGTAAAATTCTTGTTTCTTTACGTTTCTATATTAATGATCAATTTAAATATATCCTCTGTGGTCATTGCAGTTGTTTGTTATCAGCAGTCTTCATACTACTAATATTTTGAAGTTTACGGTATATCTTCACGTCACTAAAATTCTCAGGGATTATGATAGACTACTTGGATTATTGTCAATAAAGAGAGCCTAAAAGAAAATTGCTAACGGTTTACTTCAGGGGAATAGGGGGGAAGTTTTAGGGTTATTGAGGCTGTGTTAATACTGTCTTATATTCATAGATCAATTTTTTCAATATAAATAAGATTTTTATCTTTTTTCTAGCGGATAAAGATGAAGGACGAGAAAATCAAAAAGAGAGAATTTGACCTGAAAAGAATGAGTGCTACTTGACGGGGGATTCACCTACCTAAATGGCTCATCTAGTGTACGAGTGGCTGGAGAACTGTCAGCAATAGTATTCTGTAATTGCGAGTGCATCACCCTGATCTCATACTAACTGGACGTTTATTGCGTCAACTCGTAGAACATTCCACAAATCGTAAGTTGTATAGATGAGACATGAGACTTCAATAAATTTGATGTCACGTAATATATTTCAGTCAGCCATCTCTTTTTATCAGATAAATAATGACTAGGCTAGTTTGAAGATCTGATGATCCTTAGGATATTGATGACAATCAAGAAAATGACGTACATGATTTCATTGTTGAATCATTTGCTTACATTTTCCTCAACGTTACCCTTAGGTTTGCCTGAAACTCATCAGTCTATCAGCAGTTGGTAGCTTGTATCGGCTTAAGTTAGGAGGCGTGGCTGCCTCGTTGGATTCGTTACATCCAAAGTGAAGCACACTATTTTAGGGGCTACATTAGATTCGAAGTAGGGATCACCACTTTGGTAGTTGGTGTTCCGACCCGTTTATAAATGAACTTTTGCGTATGCCATGAAATAAATCTCTCCTTCAGTTCCCGTTTACTTAAAGCAATCGCTCAAGCATCCATCCACGGCTGTCAGCTTAAATGAGTGCTTAAAAAAGCTCATCCAACAGATTCCATATTTGGATTCTAATTACTTCGGTCGCACAAACGGAGTTCACCTGAGTATGACATACGGAGACTGAAGAGGAGATTAAGTCCACAGCATATTCGATAGTTCGTGAATAAGAAGCCACATCTCAGGTCACTAAGGCACTTTATACAGCTGAGGTAACAAGGTAGGTAAACTGTTTCACATAGATCTAACTTACAGTTTTTCAGTTACCTTCGATTTCATACTCTCTTCAGTGTTTAAAGACAATTGTATATAAAACTTAATGACCTAGCAATATCTCACTTTAAAATGCGTTTTTTCCACGCTAAAATGTTTTCCTGGTTTCGGCTCATGAGCTTCCGAATAGTTACCGTTCGGAGAGAACATGAGACAGAATAGTTTGTAATTGCTTTCAAACTTCTGATCTCGCTTGATGCAGCTTCCTCATAAGTTCGTCAACAGATTGGGCTTCAATCACATGTTCCGATAAGAAGTTCCATTTATCGGCGATTAAGCGAATAGTCGATAGTCAGCTTACCGGTGATATGTTCCGAGTTGGTGAACTTAGAGGGAGTCCTCACAAATTCTCTCTCTTGGAAGGTGAAAATCGAGAGCACGTCAGAAGCAAATTTATTATCGAGCAATTTGAAGACTGTGATAAAGTCACCTCTGTTTCTTCTATGTAGCAGGGAAAATAGGTTTAATTGAGGCAGCTTCTCGTCATATGGTAACTTTGCGATTCCGTGAATCAGCTTAATTGCGATTATTCCAACCATTTCCAACAATTAACTATCTTACTGCAGACAGATGCTGGCTGTTTGTATGCAGTATTAAAGTTATGGACGAACGAAAACTGTATACAAAGTCAAACACTCCTCAACATTGATGTGGCCAAAGGCTCTACGTATAGAACATAGGGTTTCAAAACTTTTGGAGGCTATCGCACGTCAACGTGAAGTGGTTTTCAAGCATTGGCTAATGGTGATAAGTTTTAATTGCGGATCTGGATTAAATATATCTCAGTGTTATTCACCGTGAATCTATAAGTACCACAGTGACCAGTATGATTCATTTTTTCATGGTTGGCGTTTTTTGGCTAGCTTTTTGGCGGGATGGGGTCGCCAAGCCCATGCCCAAAACTCCTCCTTTATCCGGGATTGGAACCGGCAGTAGCCCCTTAGGTTCGACAGGCGATGTCATCAGTGTCAGCCTAACAAGAGCAGAGAAAACAAAGGCACAAGCTGAATACGCAGAAGCAAAGAGAGAAGTGAAGAAGAGCATCAGAGCTGACAAACGGAAATATGTGGAAGATCTAGCAATGACGGCGGAAAAGGCTGCAAGAGACGGACACTTGAGACAAATGTACGATACAATAAAGAAGCTGGCCGGAAACTATCGTGAAGCAGAACGACCAGTGAAAAGCAAGGAAGGCAAAGTAATCAGCAACACTGAAGAACAGCGAAACGGTATGGTAGAGCACTTTAAGGAACTCTTGAATCGACCAGCTCCACTGAACACACTCATCATCGAAGCAGAATCCAAGGACCTCACAATCGATGTTGGTGCACCTACAATTGATGAGATCAGTATGGCCATCAGACAAACCAAGAGCGGCAAATCAGCAGGAACAAACAGCATTCCAGTAGTGACAATGAAAGCAGATGTGGCAGCAACTGCAAAAATATTTCACATCCTCTTCAAGAAGATTCGGGATGAGGAACAAGTACCATCAGATTGGAAAGAAGGATACCTGATCAAAATACCAAAGAAAGGCGATCTCAGCAAGTGTGAGAACTACAGCGGCATCACTCTTCTCTCAATACCAGGCAAAGTCTTCAACAGGGTATTGTTAAACAGAATGAAGGACTTCGTAGACGTCCAACTTCGGGATCAACAAGCTAGATTTCGTAAGCATCGATCGTGAACCGACCAAATTGCAAATTGTGGAAAAATCAGTAGAATGGAACTCACCACTCTACATCAACTTCATCGACTACGAGAAAGCATTTGATAGCGTGAACAGGAAAACATTATGGAGGCTTCTCCGACACTACGGCGTTCCTGAGAAGATAGTCAACATCATAAGGAGTTCTTATGATGGATTAAACTGCAAAATCGTGCACGGAGCTCAGCTGACAAACTCGTTTGGGGTGAAGACCGGTGTCAGGCAAGGTTGCTTACTCTGACCCTTTCTCTTTCGCCTGGTCATCGACTGGGTTATGAAGACATCAACATCTGGAGGAAAGCACGTCGTACAGTGGACAGCCAGGATGCAGCTGGACGATCTGGACTTCGCAGATGACCTGGCTCTTCTATCTCACACTCAACAACAAATGCAAGAAAGGAAGATCAGTGTAGCAGCAGATCTCAACATATATAAAGGGAAAAGTAAGATTCTACGATACAACACAACATGCGTCAACCAAATCACTCTTGATGGAGATGCCTTGGAGGACGTTAACACCTTAACATATTTTGGCAGCATCATCGACAGCCAAGGTGGATCTGATACAGATGTGAGGGCGCGGATCGGAAAAGCAAGGGCTACACGTCTACGACTGAAAAATATCTGGAACTCCAAGCAAATATCAATCAACACCGAAATCAGAGTTTTCAATACAAACGTCAAGACAGTTCTACTGTATGGAGCAGGAACATGAAGAACTACGAAAGCGATCATCCAGAACATACAAGTATTCATTACCAATTGTCTAAACTGGAGCATTTAACTGTTTTTGTTATATCGAAACTCGTTTTACTTTCAACCTGCTTCTCGAATGTCTAGGGTGAACAAGTATTGAGTTGTCAATAGGCTAGTACAACACCAATAATATTCGCAATGTAAATCATAGTAGATGTTCCAGTCGAAAGACTGTGAACACGTCTATAAGACAATAAATTTCGGGTCCCAAGCGATATCACAAATCTCATTTCGAAAGACAGAAGGTGAGATAGTCCAGATGAATGTGAGTACTTGCTAGCGATTTCGCGGTGTTGAAAGAATATAGAAACGTGCTAGAAAAAAAAGCAAAGCCACAGAGCAGCAAAAGCAAGATGGCGACCTACAAGTGCGTTATCAAAGTGCGAATAAATAGAATGCTCGTTAAAAAGTTCAGTCGTACAATTGGTTAAAATAATGAATAGTGTTATTCTTCGTAAAAGAAAAATCACTTGACCACTTAACCTTAATATGTGCTAAACCAGATCCATTTAGTCCATTTTCTGATTTGATTTATTACGGAACGTTCTAGACCGGTATCAACTACATTGTAGTAGTTTAACGTTTGATTTTGTTTCTTCGTACCTGAATTACAGCCTCTACAGCTAATAAGTTTATCCTAATTGATACTGGTTGAGTCAAGTAGTATGTCTAGTACTTACATTTATGGAGTTTGACATACAGGTCGTGTGAAAAAGATCGAACACAGTTATAAACATCACGCCATTTTGTTATTAATTTCCAAACATTTTTACTTAAATTAAGCTGCCGAAGAGTCGTTATTGGGGTCAAGCGACTAGAATAGCAGACTGTCATCGACAAATTTACTTCCTGTTTAATTTCCATCTCATTTTTGATTTTATTCATAGCCCATAGAATTCCATGTAAATTGTTCCCATAGATGAATATTTGCAGAAAGCACTAAAATACTTTGACCAACTAACAGTTCTAATTCCAGTCATGAGTGGCTTTATATTGCTACTACTGATTACACAGATAGTTTGACAAGCTTTTTGGATGTACAAACAAAAAACATCTAGTCTTTGATTATTCAGATGTACGTGATCTGGGGCAAAAGCATTGTCCTTATCCCGGAATATATGAATAATATCTCTTCGAATTTGAACTTGGAATAAGTGAAATCGGATAATGAGTGCAATATAAATTTTATTATTTAATTTTGGTAAAACAATACGGACTGGTCACTGAAATAAAAAAATTGGAGAATGGAGACTAATTTGTGACTGTGACACAAGATGAATTAAGCAACTGATGTCGTTATATGTTGCAGTACAGGAAGTTACACCATTACAACAATGAAATGGATAATAGGTTCACGTGAAGTAAGGGGTAATATATATGCTCAACAACAAAGTTTGTGGCACATTCTGTGGCCTTTAGTGATAGAAATATGTATGTGCGTGTTACGAAGAATAATGATTTAAGTGCTTAAGAGCCACTGTCTCTACAGTACTGGAATTGCATAAAATGTACGGAACAAAGTGTAACTAATACAGGACGTCTACATATATCACCACACATAATGAATCCTACCTGATCTCAAGTTGGTTTTAGCTGTTACAGACATTTGTGTGAATTTATTCTGTTTGAATAAATTTAAATACTAGACGAATGAGTCATCTTAATATTACTGATTATTTTTTAGTGGAACACTTCTACGAAGAAAACACCATTCATGAAAACGAGCACTTAATATTGTACTCGTTTTGTTTACCTGAACTAAAAAACACTTACTTACGAGCAACCTTCTTTCTTGCGTTGCTGTCAGCATTCATAACTTGCTTCTCCCGATGTCGCCAACTATCACCTTCAAACATATTCTGTACCCTTGATTTATTTTTATTCATTGTGACGGGATATTAATTAATATGTAGTAATGATCATAGTCAATCTCGACTTGATCTTCACTAAAATTTTGTACTGATTATCAGGTCTAGCTATTCACCTTATCGAAAAGGGACTTGTAACAACTTAGATTAACTGGTTAAGAGCTTGTTGTAGTACCTATTAAACATACCACTTCACGGGATAACAAATGTTTATCCCGTTACCCTAGTAATCAGATAAAAGGAGATTCTAGAGGAAGAAGTATATTAAATGCTGGCCTCGTGATATCGAAATAATCACGAGACTAGGGTACATGAAGGGCTAACAACGAGCGAGGAAAGAAGAATGGGAATAACATGCTTGGCGCGCGAGAGATAGTCTTTCTGTACAGATAAACAAGAGGTGTACAATATAACAATTACGGTCAGAATTAAGTACAATAATAAATGTTTATATTTCAGTAATTGTGTTTTCTTCGTAAAAGTTAACCACTACAAGCTAACCAATAATCTTCTATTAGGATTAAAACGTTATAGATTAATTAGTTACTTAATTCCTTGCTATTTTGTTGACATTGTATTTCCTATATTGCCTTATTGGGTTTGAATTGGTCACCCTAATTTCCATTTGTTTATTAGGTTTTGAGGTAAGATGTATTATTAATAACAAAAAGTATCCCTCTCCTCTAGATAACAAGGTGTAAATATATGTCAAATAAGCTTCGTGGGTTGTTATTACTCATCGGCTTAGTGCATATATCGTATCAAAGAAGTAAACTGAACTAAACGTCGGGGGATTTGTATTGATTAGAAGAGAAACGCTTAATAATGATTCTATGTAGAGTGTATTTCCTTCTACTGGCTACTTAACTCATAGCTATAATGATTAATGATTCACGTGTTTCTTATCGGACAATGGGAGAACTGCACATCATTTATGCGTGTACAACATACGTTCAATCATTAATTAGTCAAATTCAAATTCTTGTCTAGTTAAGACATCAACTGTTGACTTATTATAGATGTCATTCCATTCCAATTATTTTATCCTACATGATTTCTTATAAGTGTCATGTATAGTGTCATGTATAAAGTGCTGTATAACAAATAGTACTTTTGAAATCATCAATCAATCATTGTTAGACCTGTTGGGATAGCCAATCGAGAAGCCACCCACACACATAGTCGATTGATGAACTTATCGATTAAATGCTTAAATATTTCAAGAGCAGTCGATTGATGAACTATTTGATGAATGTTCATGATGAACTCTATTTGATTAATGTTCAAATATTTTAGCGACAATATCGACTATGTATATATAATTGTATAAATACGCATGTTTTATTATATATTTTTGATTCTGTTAATAAGTGTTCTCCAACGTCTTCCGTCTTCTTATTTTTGAACGGTGTGAGTCTAACGTTCGGTGTTGTCATTTGTACAGTGATTTGGCGTTACTCAAGTAGAGAACATAAAAAGACCACCATTAGAAACCTGGAAGCATTGAAGGCCCCGGGTTTGAATCCTGCGAGGTGCAGGAGTCGTAGATGCGCACTGCCACTGATGAGTCCCATACCAGGACGAAACGGCCGTCTTTCAGTGCTTCCAGGTTTCTAATGGTGGTGGTCTAACAATGATTGATTGATGATTTCAAATGTGGAAAATAGTACTTTGCTTCATACATGCAAAGGTCATCATTTCAAACTAACTTTTCTACTTTTGTTACTCACTTATTACCACATCGAAATCAACAAATCGATTCGTCCAAGAGTAATCAATCTAATTTTAAAACTATAGCGTTTATACTAATTGATCCTTAAGCAACAGTGTCATAAGACACGTGTGTTTTATTTAACAAATAAAAATATGCGGATAGTTAAGGTCATTAGAACGCTACAATTTCAAGGACAACCTAGCTATAAATATATTTACTTATACAAAATTAAAATTTATTTAGAAGAATACTAGTTAGTAATGCTTGATGAATTAGTACGAGATCATCTTAGTCGAATACAAACGGTTGTAATATAGAATTTTTTTTGATAATCAATATCTATCTGTATAGGAATTAGATAAATATCGAAAATTTCCACTACAAACTACTGATAATAAATTGGAAATGCATTTAGAATTAAGCAATGCAAGATATCGTAATGCTTATGAAAATATTAAGGTAAGGGATTTGTGTAGAAATTGTGAAATTTTATTCAGTATTCAGTGTTGAATGAATGAAGTTTATTAAATCAATGCAAATAATTTTTTTTTATTACAAAGTAGGGAAAATAATAACTTGGTGAACAGTTATTTTCATTGATTGAAATGTTTTTTCGGGCAGAGTTTTTGGAGGTTTTGTGTTTTTACACATTCGAAATCATCAATCAATCATTGTTAAACCACCATTAGAAGCCTGGAAGCACTGAAAGACGACCGTTTCGAACTGGTATGGGACTCATCAGTGGCAGTGCGCATCCACGACTCCTGCATTAAAACCGTTGGATTACGGCCCAGTGGTCCGATGGTTAGGCGTCCGCGCACAATACCGGAGGTCCCGGGCTCGAATCCTGCGAGGTGCAGGAGTCGTGGATGCGCACTGACACTGATGAGTCCCATACCAGGACAAAACGGCCGTCCAGTGCTTCCAGGTTTCTAATGGTGGTGGTCTAACAATGATTGATTGATGATTTCAAATGAGATTTTTTTGATCAGTTTACTTTCTCTAGTGTTGATTTGCTTCTGTTGGCCAAGTTCTACTATAGTCACCAGTTGAAACGACTCATTTTCATGAGCATCGTATGTCGGTTTAGTTAGTGAATGAAAGTGATAAGTGGAAAATAATTAATAATGTTCTTAAAAGTAATTTTTGTCATAAACCGCTGAAAGCTAAATGGCAACTGATAGTCATCCTATGTGATCCTTCAAGAATGTACTTCGGAAATTACTTATAAAAGTGAAATACTCTTTATGAAATCACTCAATCACAAAAAGTGTTTTATCATCAAGTGTTACGTTAGATATTTGTTTCTAACGAATAAAACAACAAGATTTTCAGAGTTAAAATGAATATTGAACATTCTGCTTTTTGGCGCTTATCATCATCACCTATAGAAAATCGAAATTCACAACAAATAAGAATTTCATAAAAGCCGTTTCATCTACTTTAAAATAGAAACAGAAGTTCCTAAACAAACAATAGTTTAAAAGTACAAAACATAAAGATGGTAATGCATGTTGTCATTAAAGGTTGTTGATATTCAGAACTGCTTGGCGAATAACATGTTAAACTAAGCAGGTATTCATTTTAATTCCTCACAGGGATACAACTAATCTTGAATACAATGTACAGTGTATATTGCGATCTGCTGCTAACCATAAATCAAGCTGATATTAATGCATATTCTAGTGGCTGCGTGAGCTGAATCCTTCATTTACAAGTGTTAGAGTATGCTATGAAATAAATCTCCTCTCCAGTTTCCGTATATCAATCTTAGGCAAACCCTGTTTGTGCGACGGCATTTATACGAAGCAAAATACGGGATTCGGTTGGAAAAGTTTCTTTCTTACATTCATTCAAGCAGACAGACGAGAATGAATAGCGTGTGAGCAAAGTGGAGCGAAATGGAGAAGGTGATTGAGTCAACCCCATTGCAGTGAAGTATGACTAAGCATTTATAGTCAGACAAGAAAAGACCAAATACGAGATAATCTCAGTAAACGGTCCACAAACAAACTTGAATAGAAACAACCAAGATAAAAGCGAATAGTTGACTAGACTAAAAGATGAAGGAATAGTAATTCGGGCAGAATAGATAAGTGAATTTGTCTGAAGTTTGGAACAAGCCATGTGGGCTCGACATAAAAATACACACACTACAATATTACTTACTTACGTACGTCTGTTACCCCCAATGGAGCATAGGCCAACCACCAGTTTCCTCCAGCCAACTCTGTCATGGGCTTCCCTCTCCAGTTCTGTCCAATGTTTGTTCATTCCTCTCATATCTTTCTCTATTTCTCAGCGTAATGTATTCGTTGGCCTTCCTCTTTTCCTTTTGCCTTGAGGGTTCCATGTGAGGGCTTGTCTCGTGACGCAGGTAGGTGCTTTTTGTAGTGTGTGTCTTATCCACTTTCAGCGCTTCTTCCTGATTTCCTCCTTCACCGGAATCTGGTTTGTTCTCGCCCACACAAGGTTGTTGTTGATGGTGTCTGCACAACGGATTCGAAGTACTTTGCGAAGACAACTGTTAATAAACACTTGTATCTTCTGGATGATGGCTTTGGTTGTTCTCCAAGTTTCCGCTCCATACAGTAGAACTGTCTTGACATTTGTATTGAAAATCCTGATTTTGGTTTTGGTTGAAAGTTGTTTGGATATCCAGATATTTTTCAACTGTAGAAATGCAGCCCTTGCTTTGCCAATCCGCGCCCTCACATCTGCATCGGATCCACCTTGGTTGTCGATGATGCTGCCCAGATATGTAAAGGTGTCAACGTCCTCCAAGGCATCTCCATCAAGAGTGATTTGGTTGGTGCATGTTGTGTTGCATCGGAGAATTTCGCTTTTTCCTTTATGTATGTTGAGACCTACTGCTGCAGAGGCTGCTGCTACACTGGTCATCTTCTCATGCATTTGTTGTTGCGTACAAACTACAATATGGATATATATATAAATGAAAAAATTAGTTAAATCAAGAAGAAAGATAAACTCATAATTCATGACCTAAACAAAGTAACTGATGTTGTAACTGAACTATTCACTCTTAAAAATGTGACCTCGTAAATAAAAACTCAGTAAGTTAATAAAAAGTGAGAATATGTGATTTGTTAACCTGTTATTAGACTGTTATTGTCGTTGTCAGAACAACCAACTGTTGTTAACTATACTTTCTATATACACAAATATAAATCACGTTAGAAACACCCAATAGTGATGACCTTTTCTCGGTAATTATAGTTATTACGGGGTTGTGAAGATTGTTAAGTTACACATTTTTTGAAACCATGAGTCGGTCAATGTTAATTACCATCAGAAACCTGGAAGCACTGGACGGCCGTTTCGTCCTGGTACGGGACTCCTCAGCAGTGCGCACTTACAACTCCTTTACCCCGCAGGATTCGAACCCAGGACCTTCGGTATTGTAGGCGAACGCCTAACCATCGGACCACTGAGCCGGTATCTAACGGTGTTAATGTCTAACTTGATCAATTCACAGAGGAGGAGTCCCATACCAGAACGAAACGGCCGTCCAGTGCTTCCAGGTTTCTAATGGTGGTCTAACATTGATCGATTCATGGTTTCAAAAAATTGTAGTTATGTTTTATTTTCATTGAAATCATAAATCGATTAATTTTAGATCAGCATTTGAAACCTGCAAGCGATAGACGGCTTTTTCGTCCTACTATAGTTAATGTTATTTGTGTATTATTTTGAATAGCTTTAAGATATTCATCTAGTGTGAATTCACTGCTAAGTATTTTCTCATTTCAAAAGCTTTAACTCAATACTTTACCTAATATAAGACAGACAGACAGATACAACGCAGAACTTCGTACATGAGTACATCAGTTCAGGTTGCCATACCACATTAGCACAGAGACGCAACTGTCAGTTAAATCTAGGAGTGATAGAGATAGTTGAAGTATTAGCAGTAATGGAGAAGATTAGGGAGCGAAGATATGATTTGAGAAGTATAATTCAGCGAGATAACCAAGTAGGACTATGTCATCGGCACCTAATATAATAACTGTTAACACTGCACCGCTTTACTTAAGAAGCCAACAGTTGTGCAGTTAATATCCGTAAAATATTTTGCATCAATATAGGCATTCATAGCTTTCAAGTTAGCAGAAGTAACCAATCAGATGTTGAGTTATTTATTTTCCGAATAAAATAGCACGTGATATTTTGTACGGATTTTAATCAATATTTCAACTGATAGTTCGATGAAAATTAGAAATTTGGATGATTCCAACGTTTCCACCAGTTATCTTGTTTGAACTTCTTCAAGTTTTGATAATTAGTACACTGAAGAAATCCAGACAAAGTAGTTGGATGAAACGTTGAGATTATATTAAATATAATTTTCACAAACACTACTCAGCAACCTTTTCAGTTTTTATTAATTTAAACTATTTTTATATTTTGATTGTAACTAATAAAAGGCATTAAAAAAATATACAGAATCATCTAACCAATCAATACAAACAACAAATGAAGTAGGTTAGTTTCAATGTTCTACAATTTTTTTTGTACATTTCAAGTAAATATAATATTTACTATTATGATGTTGCATATATTCGCAAACTATCGATTGGGTTGAGACAAATATAAACACAGAGTTGCTTCATCTAGGCTTTGATTCATTTCTCACTAACAATTTACGTATATGGAATGTTGAGGAAATCGATCGTTCTACGTTCCATCTGTAATGAACCGAAATGTATTTAACGAAAATTATAGAGTTACTCAGTAAAATTGGGAAACCATATCGTAAATCGTTCATTTGCAAAATATCAGTTCATCCTATCGAAATGGACTGTTCCTGTTGCAAAACATCAATCCATTGTCACTACTATTCATGCGTTTCATACAAATTCCACTGTTTTCTAACTCTTCCTTTCTTGATCTTCCCCTATCTTCGGCTAACAGACATTACGTTGACGCTCACGTCATACACTACTTATAAGTAGCTCACACCACACACCCAGTGGCATTAACATTGAGCTAGAAAGAAGGTTAAAGTATTAGATAATTATTTTCATCAATATGAAGATGAGAGATGCATTATAACCTAGTGTCTATGTTTAACAGATTAGTTCTCACTTAGTAGGAGAAATAAGATTGAATTCAATTCTCTCAATTTATATACAGTATTATTACCAGACATGATATGATAACAGAGTTTAGTATCGACCTTGTTCAGTACTTCGTAAAAAACCACAAGCTAGAAATCTCACTAATCATTCAGTTAACTGGTTTTATATATAAAGAGTAAAGTTCAGTAACATAACGAAACGAAAGAACTCATCGTTTATTGAATGAATAAATAATGACAAACTTTATATTGAAAAGCTAAAGAACTGAATAAATGAAATTGATATTATTCAAAAGACTATTCCTTCAACTTTTGAACAGTTTTAAATCCAAAAAAAATTTATTCACTTCAGCATGATGTCTTGATTATTATAACCAATACTACTTGAAGACTAGTTATACATATACAGAATGTACACATTTGTAGACGTATGTATTAATTGACAGTGAGTTATTTGAAAGATCTCTTAACTAAATTTCTTATCCGTTACGGAGCTATGGACATTGTTGTTTTTCACTGAAATAATGAATCAATCATATTTAGACCACCATAAGAAACCTGGAAGCACTGGATAGCCCACAAAAGACAAGCCTCGTGAGGAAATTCCCTGAGTTTTAGTGAAAAGCAGTGACCAAGGGAGTTCGACCATGCGGGGTGAAGGCAGCGACCACTGAAGACAATGTGTGAAATTGTGCGAAACCTAGGATCGATCAAAGTTAGACGTTTAACACCAGTGGATGCCGGCTCACTAGTCGTTCGTGAACGAGATCGAAGGTCCTAGGTTTGGTTCTCACGAGGGAGGGTTGTGGATGCACATTGCTGTCCAGTCTCATAATAGCACGAAACGACTACCCGGTTTTTCCAAGTTTTAAATGGCTGTCTAACAATGGTTGATTCATGATTTCAATGATAAAATTTTTCATTCTGATCTATTCACATTATTAACTATTATTTCTTAATTACGCTAAGCATTTAATCAACATACATAATTGTTTATTATCGATTAACAAATAGCCTAAATTAACTTAATCTTCTTCGTTTTATATTAATCGATACTCGGAGTAAAGTTGACTTCCTGTATTGATTGTTTTTAAAAGAGACATCAGCCTCGTGACTTCCAAAGAATCTCGGCTTTCGCCGTGAGGCTTCAAAACTCTTCTAGATGAAGACCTTCAAACTACCAGGGCAAAGTTAAAATGGTTTGAATTATTTGTTCTAGTTAGCGTTTTTTTTAGCAAGTTAGTTTTTTACGTGATGGAGTTGCTAACCATATACCTGACCCTCCTCCTCTAGCCGGGCTTGGGACCGGTAATAACCCAAAAAGAGCTCAACAGTAAAGTTTGATAAAGGTTTAAAAAAAAATAAAATTACTTAGTTGTATATTCTGTTTATTCATGTATTCACGAAAATTTCTGTCAGAAGTTTATAAATTACTTCAAATAATAATATCTTACATTTCGACCAGACGGAAATTTCCGTCATCCAGTTGTAAACTCTTCGCTTATTAAAAATGAATAAAATGGTTGTGATTATCCGCACTGAAGAAAGTAGTCTAACAGTGATCAAGAACAAAGAGAAATATGAATAAAAAGTCCTTTGATGTTTTTCTACGAGATAATGAATAAAGGTTAATTCATAAAATCTTTAAATGGTGTAACAAATAAAGTTCAGGGTTAGATGGACTTCTAAATAAATCGAACAAGATTTTCGTTATACCTCAAACTCAACAATACATCATGTTTATCTGACATAACATAAAGTTTCAAAATGGACTTCACAGATACACTTATACATAGGCTTTGCTTAAAATATGAAGCGATATACTGAAGTTATTTCATTTGTTGTTTGGGAAAGTAAATTTCGATTACAATAGAACTCATGTATCACATAAACTACATTCAGTATCACAATTGGTTGAATTTCAAACATTATCAAGTGCTAAATGAAGTTACTTACTTACGCGTGTTAGCTCTTGTGGATGGACCTTTCTGCAACCAACTGTTTCCTGGACTATCTCTTCCAGTTCTGCTATAAACTCTTTTCATGTCTATTTCCAATTCTCTGAGAAGTGTGTTCCTTAGTCTACTTCTTTTCCTTTGGCTGTGAACACTTCACGTTTAGGCTTGCTTTGTGATGCACTTGAGAGATTTCCGCAGTGTGTATCCTGTCCACCTGCAGCGCTTTTTCCTAATTTCTTCCTCAGCTGGAATTTGGTTTTTTCTCTATGCTAGAAGGCTGTCGCTGATCCGGATCCAAAGTATCGTGCACAAACAAACGTTTGTGTCTCATACTTTTCATTTTTTTCTCGTAAAGTGTGATGTCATTAGTACACGCTACGTTGTATGTAAAGATTTTATTTTTCCCTTGTGTTTGTTGAGGCCAGTTGCCGAAGAGATTGCTGTTACAATGACTGTTACTTATATTAATACTAGTAATATTTCATAAATAATATTTTCAGTACCAGTTATTATGGATATTTAATACTTTATGTATAGATCGAAAAAATGATTTAGAAAGTTTCATGAAAATCATGTTGATTCAACAATTTCAACAACAAAATGCACTATATCAAACAGCATTGTTAAATACACTAACTAAAGGTTAGTAAATTATTGATTTCAGTACTAATAATATTATTTCTATGGTTGAATTAACTAACTAATCTTAGTTACATCATTATTAGAAACCTGGAAGCACTGGGCGAGTGTTTCATCCTAGTATGAGACTTCTTAGCAGTGCGTATCGATGAACTCTAGTCACAAGCTTTGACCAGTGGAGTCCAGTCGGTAACGGATAGGAGAAAATAATTCGAAGTAGCCAATAGATGAAGGTTGCGCAATATCATGGATTGGGTAAAGTTAGACCTTAATGTTGTAGGATGCCGATCCATGCGTGGACGAAACAACAGTTGAGTGCTTCTAGGTTTCTAATGTTGATCTAGCTAAGATCAGTTCGCGATTTCAACTATGATAATGATATGCTCTCCACCAATCCCCTTCATTATTACACTTATCATTAGCTGTACTAATGAGTAAAATGAAATGATGTTATTTTTGAAGTTAAATTGAAATAATCTTGAATGTTATTAAGTAAATTTGTTATTTAATTATAAAATAACGAATTTCTGTTAGTACTAGAGGAAACATCTGAAAATTCGAATATTTTTTTCTTGATAATTTAGGTAAGTATTTGTGATATATGGTTAACATCTTGAACTGATCTTCGTTAAACTAGGAATCTTGATAGAACAGTGGGAAGACGTAATTAATCTGAAAAATGTGATATGAAGATTAATAAAATGTAAATTAAATATAAAATGCCCTAACAAGTAAATATATGTGACCAGATTGTTCGAAATATAGAGGGCAAATACATCACATTTTTCAGATCAGTTACGTCTTCTCACTGTTCTATGAAAATTTATAAAAGGGACTAACTGTTTTAAACTAGGAATCACTGAAGAGTTGTTTTTATACTAGTATTGGACCCTTCATCAGTGCGGACCGACAATGTCGAACCTACTGATACTTAAACCTCTAGACTATAGAGACGGGATCCAAAGGTTCACAAGCTTAAATTCAGTTCAGATATTGATATTAGGAGATTATCTTGCAATGTATTTGGTGGATAACTGCTTCATACACACAAAATAGTTGAGCTTTACTGGTCACAGATTTTTACAAAACTCCAGGATTACCCTAAGAAATTCATTAAACCGAGCACATGATGAATTACTATGAGGGATTTATTGATATTTTTTCCAAACATCATGTGCACTTCTGAGGAATTCCAGTTGTCAAATGTTTCCTGGTTTACTATTTAAAAATTTAGTTATTAGAATATTAGGTTTTTGATTTCATGACCATTAACTAGGAAATTCCTTTTGCTTCATTTCGATTAACAAATCACATTCAAACATACGGCTAGTTTCAAATAAATATTTTGTTAGATAGAATAGCTGATGAGTTGATAAGAAACAATAATTAATTCGTAATGAGCACTTTATCTTGTTTGAAATTATTCAAATGAATGTACTTTTTTATTAAAGAGTTATGAGGATCGTCAATGATTACTGAAATCATAAATCAATCATTGTTGGACAACCATCAGAAGAAGCACTGGAAGCATTGGACATCCATTTCGTCCAGGTATGAGACTTATCAACAGTGCACATCCATTACTCCTTCTGCCCTCAGAATTCGATTGGTCCAGAGGTCAGGCGTTCGCGCGTAAGACCAAAAGTCCTGGGTTTAAATCATGCAAGTAACAGAAGTCATGGATGCACACTGCTAATGAGTCTAATACCAGGACGAAACGGCTGTCCAGTGCTTCCAGGTTTCTTTTAATGATAGTCAAACAATGATCAATTCATGATTTTAAGAATGTACTTTTATAAACCAATATGAATAAACACTATCGATATTCAAACACAGCAAGTATCTTTTCAATTATCCAATTATCTTATATTCTGACCTATTTGTTGAGTGATGTAAACTTTAAGTATAATCTTTTGACTGTTCATTGTCATGTTATTTTCTTTTTTATGAATGTTTAGAAGAACGTGCACAATATGTAACAAATTATCTTCCATATGGAAACATGACAAGTTCAGATATTGAGCGTGAAAAAAAATTATTAGCTTTAGAGAGTGGAAATGGTAAGAAAAATGAATTTTTATGTTTATTACTTGAATGAGTTGATTTGTATAATACTATTCTGTAATTGTAACTTCAGATGGATTTTATTTAATCTCAAATGCTTTTGACGATCCGGTTGTTGATATTTTAACTGGAATTTGATCAGTCTTGGATAGAAATAAATCAATTCTCATTACTATTGTAAAAGTCAGTAGTTATGTGGACTTAGAAGATAAGTGGATAACACGATTGCGTTTATAGTGAAAGGTACTGGGTTAAGGTGTCGGAATTGTTAGGATATTCATCAAATATCCTAAGAGAATTATTTTTGTAAGTCTAATTCTATTGGTCAGTTCCTACCAGTCAATATTATGGTCGTCCTAGCTATCAATCTCACTTCAAATGTTGTTTCCTATTGATCGTCCAAACTATCAATGTCACAGACTTCAATGTTGTTTCCCATTCGACCTAACTGTATGAATACTCATTATCTGTAATGTTTTATCACCCGGACCCAGATCCTTGGTCCTGGTTCCTGATTCCCTTCTGAACTCGGACCTCTTACTTCCTGGATGCTTGTAGAATACAGGTACTACTTCATATCAAGTCTTCTTCTTTTACTCATTGGGGTGTTGGGAGAATCGGATTAGAGTAGCTTGTCGTGTCACTGGATCCTCGATCCTCGCTCTCGTTTTCCAACGAAGGTGAACTCGTAATAGTTCAAGCATATCAAACTGATATGTTTACGTGCAATGCGTAACAGGAATGAACATCAATTCTAGTAGGTGTATGCAAGCAAACACGAGTTCTAAGTATAGGATGAAACATACATCCTGGATTTCAGTGCTAGCCACATTCTATCCATTTTATGTAAACTTCCAGATGGATTGTTTATTTTTCTACCTACCTAAATAACCATCAATCAGATTTCATCGAAATTCTCTTCATAAAAACCAAAAATATTTTAGATGAATGAACATCCACTTGATAAACTGAAATTTTTTTCGATTACAGTTCAGTGACAATTATCCATGAAAAATGAAATTAACTAACTAAAACCGTGAAATTAGATGAATATTAAAAGGCAGCTAGCTAAGTTACCATGTAAAATAGTTTAAAGTTTTGTTTAATGACAAGTATGAGAGCTTCTTAAAATAATATGTTATATTGCAGATAAAGAAGTTGGAATTAAGTTATTAGATTCCAGCTTTGTAGGTCAAATGTTTAAAGTGTTAACTAAGTGATTTAGAAGTCCGTGGTTCTACCTGGAATGTTCCTGAATACGCATTGCCGAAGAGCAACTAATCTGACCCAGTTTTAAATGAGTCAAAATACAGTCTGTAAAAAATATTATTTGCAAAATCTTATAAAACAGAATTAATGTTGTCCTGTGTGTATTGACTTCCAGAGCAGATTCAGGAATACTAGAGATTCAATTATATCGGAAGCCAACCCGTATATATCAGAATTTTCAACTGTAATTGTTATGCTCTATTGATATGCTTGAATGCTATTACGAGTTCACCTTTGTCGGTAAACGAGAGCGAAGTTAAGTAATCCAGTGACGCAATAGGTTACTCTAATCCGAGCGACACAAGGCCCTACTGAGTCGAAGAAGTAGTCTTGATATGGCTCAGAAAGTGTATTCTGCAAGCACCCAGAAAATTGAGGTTCACAGTCACACACACAGAAACGTCCTTGGCAGAGACAAAAAAATAGCGTACTAAAATAATACGTCAACTAATAACAGTTGAGGATTTTCACGGGTGGGAAATGCGATCTCACGGTCAACTGATCAGCTCATGCGCTAAAACATGATATCCAAAATTAGGACCTTTATCAAGGGAGTTCTTGGGATCTAACGTCCCAGAGGTAATAGCAACAACGCAAGAAATTATAAAATCAAATGCACACCAACTTTATTAAACAGGATGAGAATACACTGCAGTGCACATGCAGAGCCAAAGAATGAGGAAAAATATCTAATGACTGCCTTTCAACAGAGTGGCTACTTACACAACATTATCAAAAATATATCAATCCAACTCATTGGCATAGAAGAAATTAATCATAGAAACCAACAAATGGATAGATCTGCCATATTTAAAAGAAACATCGGAAGTCGTAATGACATTATTAAAACCGTTTAGAATCGGCTTGACACAGAAGCGAGTAAGTTCACTTCAATCAAACCAAAGGACAAAACGACTAAAGAAGAAAAACTAAATATCATGTAACAAATAAACTGTTTCAATAACGAACAGAACTTCATCTGAAAAAGTGGACGTCTCTTTCATTTTCATCTGCGTAAACATCAATTAGTAGTCAGACACCATGACATATCTCTCTTTTATAAATATATGTGGACAACTATAGAAATACATTTGATTGGAAAAATTTTGAAATACTGGATAGAAGAAAAGTAAAGTACTCCAGAGAATATTTTGAAGCTTGGCACTCAGATCGATCGGTAATCAATAAACAGATAAAAATCGATCCAAATTATCAACCAATCAGAAAGCTCAGGGACAAATAAAGTATCAAAAATCAAATTATAAGGCGGACGCAATCAAAATTAAGAGGCAAACAGCGACATGTTAAAGGTCAACATTCACTCATGATCGAGGTTGACAGGAATAGAAGTTATTGTTCATTTGTAGAGAAATTCAAATACTTCACTTCCACCTAAAGTTTGTGCTGATGATTTTACTTGAAAGCACAATGAAAGCTGCATGACTAAACCGACTAGCTCAGAGAACGATCGTACACTAAAATCATCCACCTGAGCTACAAATTTTCTCTATCATCTAAACTAATGTATTCACATCACCGACAATAACTTATTCACTTCTCTGATAACCTAAGCATTGTAACATAATTGTTCAATAAATAGTGTAATTGTCTTACTTATTTTAGTTTGTCTTAAGTACAATGAATGCAGAATAAATTATCTCACATTTTCAGAACCAAAATGCTAATCATTAAGTTGGTGAATTTTTATGAAAAAACTTATCCAAACCCTACTTGAATTTTCCTGCGCGTAAAGTATTTTTTCCCCTAAAGTTCAGTGACATTAAAGAAGTGTATTTAGGTTGAACAGTTTTGATTTTATGCATCAGTCTGTAGTCATTCATGTTTAAGTTTTAATACTAAAGATGAGAACTCATTTTGATTCAAAGTATCACTTGAAATTCAAACATGTTTTCTCTGATATACATCTAGTTATATTTGAATTATAAGTTTTTAGTTGTAATTTTACCTAAAATGTTTTACTTAAGTAATTAACTGACACAATTAGTCCCTTCTATTAATTTTGATGGAATAGTGAGAAAACGTAATTGATTTGAAAAAGGTGATGTATTTACTCTAATATATTCAGAACAATCTGGTCACATCATAGTTTTCAGATCAGTTATGTCCTCGCACTGTCTTATCAAAATTTATTAACAGTCACTTACTTAACTTTGAAATGTAAGTATTGATTTATAAATGTAAGCGGATAAGTATAACACATTTTTGTCAACAATATATGAATTCATAATAAATATGAGTTCATTCCCTTGTGGTGGCCAATTTACTGCATGTTCTTATGCTTCGTAATTAGCTCGTCTAGACAATCGTTACTAACTAGCGTCTGACGGTTATAAATCAGAAGATGAATTCGAAGTAATGAATAGGTTTATTTTTAGACGCATCACAAAGCGAAGTTGAAAAGCAGTGAACAAAGCGTACGATGTGGAGGCACTATACCCTAATATTTCTAGACTTTCAATAGACATGAATTATCAGATAACACCTGATTTATTACCCAAAAGAAAAACGTTTAGAAAACAAAAATATTAGTTTATATTATATAGAATTCCAAACATTTTAAATTTCTAAAGTGATAATAGTCGAATCAATCAAACATATTGATTCAGTAAAAAAATAAATTATCCAGTAAATGAACTTTGATAACAATGACAGTGTTATGGATGCTAGATACTCGGAAATCGCTAGGTTAATCCTTTTAAATTTAAATCCTAATTTCGGAAATTTGAATTTCTTATTTTTTGCGCCAAAAGTTCTCTAAATAACTTCAGTTCTGATTGGTTGATATATTGGGTTGATTTCTATCTGTTTATTAATTGCCGATCGATCTGAGTGCCAAGCTTCAAAATATTCTCTATAGTATTTTATATTTCATCTATACATTTTTCCAGTGGAAAGTACTTCTATAGTTGTCCAAATATATTTATAAAAGAGAGATAAGTCATGGTGTTTGACTGCCGATCGATATTTACGTAGATATAACTGAAGGAGACGTCCACTTTTTCAGATGAAGTTCTGTTCGTTATTGAAACAGTTTATTTGTTACATGATATTTGGTTTTTCTTCTTTAGTCATTTTGTCCTTTGGTTTGATTGAAGTGAACTTACTTGCTTCTGTGTCAAGCCGATTCTAAACGGCTTTACTGATATTGTTGCGATTTCAAATGTGTTTTTATATATGGTAGAATGATCCATTCTTTAATTTCTCTGGTGGATTTCTTCGATTGTGATGAGTTGGATCGGTATTTTTTGATAATGTTGTGTAAGTAGCCGCTGTGTTGACAGATAGTCATCAGATACTTTTCTTCATTCCTTCGCTTTGTGTGTGTGCTGCAGTGTATTCGCATCCCCTTCAGTAGAGTTGGTATGTATTTGATTTTATAATTTTTTGTGTCGTTGCTATTAAAGTCGTAAAATCTGATCTATGTGTGTTGGCTTCCTATATAATTGAAACTCTAGTTTTCCTGCTTGGGCTGTACTACTCAATACATCCTGAACAATATTTAAAGAAAATAAATTCTGCTTCATAACATTTGGCATATAATCTTCTTTTGATAGACTGTATTTGTCACAAACTCACTCATTTGGGGCATCGTTTAAAATTAGGTAGTATTATTTACTTTGTTCTAGCATGCAACTCTTCGGCAATACGAATTCAGGAGCATTCCTTGAAATTTCGCGTCATATGGTTAACGCTTAAACATTTGAACGACAAGGTTGGGATCTGTTGACGTAATTTCAACTTATTAATCTGCAGAATAATGCATAATTTTAAGAAGCTCTCATACTTGTCATTAAACAAAACTTTAAACTATTTTACATGGTAACTTAGCTAGCTGCCTTTTAATATTCATCTAATTTCACGGTTTTAGTTAGTTAATTTCATTTTTCATGGATAATTGTCACTGAACTGTAATCGAAAAAAATTTCAGTTTACCAAAAGGATGTGTTTTTTCATGAAAAGAATTTCGGTGAAATCTGATTGATGGTTATTTAGGTAGGTAGAAAAATAAACAATCCATCTGGAAGTTTACATAGAATAAAGATATTGTGGCTAATATTGAAATCCAGAATTGAACACAGTACCATTCGCATTGAATGCAATCGTGTTATCCACTTATCTACTGAGTCTATATAGCCACTGACTTGTACGACGGTTATGAGATGTAACTCAATTTGAATCCATTAACAGAATAAATATTTCGTTAATATCTAGGTGAACATCAACCCTGAGATGTGACAGGTAGTTCCAGCTATGGGCAAGTTCCAAATAAAACGAAACGCACCTGTTGGATTCCTTTGGTAGCCATTCTCACATTGCTAATAATCTTTAAAAATTACTGTTTCTAACGCGGATCAAGCCTCGGGACATTTGGTCTTGCGTACGGACGCTTAATCTTTAGGCCATTAAGCTAGAGGTCGTGGATGTGCGCTACTGATGAGGTCCATAGCAGGGTAAAACGGCCGTCCATTGCTTCCAGGCTTCTAAAGGTAGTCTAACATTGACAAATTCATGGTTTCAATGAAACTAAACAATCTTCACAACTCGATGATGAATATTACAAATAAATATTATAAATATATTTGTTTTAGGAATTCTTATTCAATTCAATATTATCAATTTTAATTATTTTACAGCTGGAAAACGTAACAGATCATTAAAAAATTCTTATAAATTCGAAAATAATGGTATATTAAACATTATTATTTACCTATATAATAAAATAATTAATTATTTCTTAGAAAATACAAGTAAATTACGCATTTTTGGTTATATTCATTTATTTGCAATGATTATAAAGCAAGCAATGATTCAGGTAAATTTTACTTATTAGTAATAATTACATGATTGATTTCTATTTTCAAACTACAGAGTCTTTCTACCCCCGATGAGTTAAATGTCTCAACAATTTTACAAAGGTCTAATGCTTACCACTAAGTTCAAAATCACATTAAAAAGACTGAATAAATATTAAACACTGATTACTCCTTATTTGCATTACCGGGTTGTGAAGATTGTTAGGTTGCACATTTTTGAAACCGTGAATCGATCAATGTTAGACCACCATTAGAAACCTGGAAGCACTGGACGGCCGTTTCGTCCTGGTATGGGACTCCTCAGCAGTGTCAATATTAATAATATGATTTTTAAATTAAAAAAACATTTTTGACAATTATTGAATTTATAATAATTGAGGAGCCTCGAAATATCCTTCAACAAAGTTTACATAGGCATATAAACATCTGGAAAATTCAGAATCATGATCCTGATTTTGAAATTTAACTATACTTAGTATGGTTCTTAAAACTTTCAGAAGCCTAAGGTCATGAGTAACTCAATAAATGCCCTCACTTTTCTGTAAAGTAACTGAGCTTGGAGTAAATTATTCTTTGCTTACTTTTCACCTTTTCTCTTATATTCAAGTTTCAGTTTAGATTTAGCCTGAGGTAATTAGCAGAGGATAGAAATCAGATCTTGTGTTCACTGAGTAGATTTATTGATAAACTCCTATTGATTACGAATTTATTGTATATAATTAGAGTTAATTTATCTAAAAGTATTCATGCATGACCTTCAGATTTGACGAAAAGTACAACCCTATTTAATGGCTGATAGTGCAAACTTGAGCAAATTTATGATATAATGTGACAAGTGTTTAATACTTTCGGTTGAAATCTACTATTCTTATCTTATTGCATTTATTCTGTAAACGTTATTTAATAACATCAACGAACATGATATACTTCTCGAAAACTATTTAAATGTTACGTTATAATCTTGTGTTGTATCTCTAACCACTGACCAACATCACATAAAAAAGGTAATCACATTTTAGTACCAGTTCCCTTGAGTTAGCTCCAAATCCTTATTGTTCCATAAATCGATAGCTTCGTTCTTTCGACTCTGCTTGTCTCTTAGTCCAGAAGTTTCTGGCCTCTTCACTCATTTTTACATATTGAATTATGCTACTTAATTATATTCAGTAGTTAAATTATTTTTGAGTGCACTATACACACCATGCACCATGCTTCCTCGTTATTATATAGTACTTCTACAAGTTTTTGGTGTACTTTTCATTTACTACTGCAACTGAAACTTCCTAATGTCTTTAAAACAAACTTTCCATGTTCTTAGATCGATATAGTCTGTTCTGTGTCGATTTTTCAACATCTTAGACCACGTTTCACTTGTTTATAGGCATTACGCTTTTATATAATTAGTTGTTTAGACCATTTCACGCTTGTAAATAATCCTTATGTCAACATTTCAGAAATTATTCTTCAAATGGCTATATTTTCAGATAGGTAGAGAGCCACCGAAGCTTTATGAATTGACATTTGTCAATATTTGATAATAATAGTGTGATTCTCTAGACAGTTACTTACTTACTTACTTACGCCTGTTACCCCCAATGGAGCATAGGCCGCCCACCAGTTTTCTCCAACCAACTCTGTCCTGGGCTTCCCTCTCCAGTTCTGTCCAATGTTTGTTCATTCCTCTCATATCTTTCTCTATTTCTCAGCGTAATGTATTCTTTGGCCTTCCTCTTTTCCTTTCACCTTGAGGGTTCCATGTGAGGGCTTGTCTTGTGACACAGTTAGGTACTTTTCGTAGTCTATGTCCTATCCACTTCCACCACTTCTTCCTGATTTCCTCCTCCACTGGAATCTGGTTTGTTCTCTCCCACAGTTCGTTGTTGCGGATCGTGTCTAGCCAACGAATACGAAGTATTTTGCGTAGACAGCTGTTAATAAACACTTGTATCCTCTGGATGATGGCTTTGGTAGTTCTCCATGTTTCCGCTCCATACAGTAAAACTGTCTTCACATTTGTATTGAAAATCCTGATTTTGGTGTTGATTGATAATTGTTTGGAGTTCCATATATTTTTCAACTGTAGAAATGCAGCCCTTGCTTTGCCAATCCGTGCCCTCACATCTGCATCGGATCCACCTTGGTTGTCGATGATGCTGCCCAGATATGTAAAGGTGTTAACGTCCTCCAAGGCATCTCCATCAAGAGTGATTTGGTTGGTGAATGTTGTGTTGCATCGGAGAATCTGGCTTTTTCCTTTATGTATGTTGAGACCTACTGCTGCAGAGGCTGCTGCTACACTGGTCGTCTTCTCTTGCATTTGTTGTTGAGTGTGCGACAGTTACTTAGTGTTAATTTCGATTTCGCGATTCACTCAGTCGCTGAGACAGAAAGTTCGATGCAGTTAACACGAATGTTGAAAAAATGGTAATCGCAAAGCTTTATTTATTCGACCAATAATCCAGCCAAAGTTAGTCAATGCAAATTAAGAAGAGTTACTGAACTGTTAAAAATATACCGTGTTTTTTTGAAAAATGAACTTAAGACATGTATGATCTCAATTCATTAATCACTGTTACTTTTTCAGCCACCTTTTAGATTATCAAATGAAGCGAATTTTGAATTGATGCTACGTTATTCAGTGGATTATTTAGTTGATAATTTAAAAGATGTAAGTTATAAGATGTAAACATAAAAACCACTATTCAGGATTCACTTATAAAAACCAGAAATGTTTAATCAAATGCAGTCTTAAACATTACCGCATAATAATGATCATAAACTTGGAACTCTGACGCAGCTAGTTTGAAAGAAGAATGTTGATTCATAGGTGGTATTGTATTGCAAAATCAACCAAAGTGGAGAATGTGCGCATAGGCCAATCATATTCTATCTAATACGACAGCTAAACGTCTGGGATTCCATCCTGTGTATCATGTTGTTACTGTATACTTCTGAGACGTTAAAAACTTAAGATAAACAGTAACTATTCGTTGGATAGCTGATTTAAAATAGTTCTATGACTTAACATTGCATTTTTCCCCAGTGAAACTTTCATGTAAATATCGTAGATACTTCAGACTTAGTCAGTAGATTAATGAATTAAAATAAATTTCAAGGTTATACATGAGGATTCTGATTACTTACTTACTTGCTTACTCACTCCGGTGACCCCTAATGTAACATAGGCCACCAACCACCAATCTCTAAGCTACTCAGTCTTCATTTCCAGCTGTACGAAATTGCTACTTATTCTTTCCGTGTTTCCCTCCAGTTCCCGGTTCAGCGTGTTATCTAGGCTACTACTTTTCTTTTCGCCTTCAGCATCCCAAGCTGGGGTTCGCCTAGTGATGCAGTTGGGTGACTTCCTCAGTTTGTGTCCCAACCACTCTAGCATTTTCCCTAAATTATCCCTCAGCTGGAATCTGGTTTCTTCTCTGTCCCGGTAGATTGTTGCTGATAGTGTCTGGCTAACGGACAAGAATTATTTTACGTAGATAAATACTGACAAACATTTGTCTCTTCCAGTTGATGGTTTTCGTAGTTCACTGAGTTTCTATTCCCTACAGTAGAACTGTCTTGACGTATGTACTGACCTCAGTGTTGGTTGACAAACAGTTGTTTTGAGGTGCAGATATTCGTCAATTATACAAATACTGCCCTCGCATTACCAACCCGTTTCTTTACATCTGCATCAGATCCATTTTGTCTTTCAGTGATGCTGCCCCAGATATGTACAGGTTTCTACATTTTCCAGAGCTTCTCCGTCAGGTGTGATTTGGTCGGTGCAAGATTCTGATTACCTTACATAAATCTAATCAACTTATGCTGAATAAATAAAACCTGACTCAACATTTTAGTCTGATCTATATCCAAAGACATATTAGGCTGAAATATCTTAGCTAACACTTCAATGCTGTTTTAGTGTAGATCTATCGTTTGTCAGACAATATTAAACAAAGAGTAATAAGGAGATAAAATAAAGAAATTTTATTTGATTATTGATGAAAATTTGAAAATGGAAAATCAATAAATCTGCATATAATCGTACATAATTTAATGCAAACATTACCGTTTGTATTCGATGTTTAAATGTTCATTAGATTAATTTTTATTATCAACTCAGTATAGATTAATGAGTGCTGACATAATTACATTGTAGTGAACGAGAACACAGGTGGGGCAACCAGATTGATTTAACGAAAATTATAGAGTTACTCAGTAAAATCGGAAAACCATATCTTAAATTGTTAATTTGCAAAATATCAGTTCATCATATCGAACTGGACTGTTCCTGTTGCAAAACATCAATCCATTGTCACTATTCATGCGTTTCATACAAATTCCATTGTGTTCTAACTCTTCCTTTCTTGATCTTCCCCCATCTTCTTCTGCCAGACATTACGATGACGCTCACGTCATATACTACTTATAAGTAGCTCGCACCACAATATCACATGAATTCTAACACATATCAGTATAAACTATTAGCAGTAATGTATAGTTGTATTTATTTTCGAGTTGAATTTTTTTTATCAGTAATGAATATCAATTCGACTAAGATATTTACTGGATAGTTCATTGAATTTGTAATGACCTAAACATGTTTACAAATCCTTGAAGACATTAACAACTGAACTGAACCATGTTAGTAGGTGTAGAGTACTTGGTTGAGCTTCATGTGATTACCGTAACCAGTGGTAAGAGACTTTGATTGACATGGCTGTAAATCGTTTCCGATGGCGAAAATACATTCAATCATTGTCTTCTGAGTTGCTTACTCGTGACTATATTCTTTCTCTTTTTTTAAATTTATTTCAATGGATTACACTCCTTGAAACACATCTTCGAACCTTAATCTTTTCCATTACTTATAGATATGAACTGACCATTCGATGTCTGTGCTAATATGGTATGGCAGCTTGAACTGGTGGTCTTACGTACGTGCGAAGTTCTTGATTGTTAGCCGACTGAATGACTGATGGATTGATCTTGAATTAAATTTTAGTTTGCATCAACATCAATTTGTAATGGAAAAACCAACTTTAATTCAGTCAGTCAGTCAGTTACAATGTAGAACTTCGTAAATGAGTACATCAATTTGGGTTGATATACCACATCAGCACAGAGACACATTTGTCAGTTCAAATCCAATAGTGATGGAGATAGTAGAAGTATTAGCCGTAATGAAGACGATTAGGGAGCGAAGATATGGTTCGAGAAGTATAATTCAGTGAGATAAAATTAGGAAGAGAAAGATAGAGATGATGAGGAATTAAGAAGGTTAGAATTTGAGAGAGCACAAAGAATGGATGCACCTGCGCCATTGCAAACGATTCTGAGCCATGTCGTTCAAGGTCTCTAACCATCGGTGACTATCGTCTTGCAGACCCCAAACAGGTAGCCTACATCTACCAACATGACTCAGTCAACTTGTCAATGACTTCATGGATTTGTGCTATGTTTTGGTTTGGCCTACCCTAACTTTCTTCCAACCTACTCCTACACCACAAAACATAGCTGGTCGAGGCAGTTGGTAGTTAGGCATACGTAACACATGTCCCAACCACCTCAACTGATGGAATGGTCACTACTTCATCAATTGATCTGCGATCCTTACCTAATCAATACTCATTTCTTAAACTATAGCATTGCTTACTCAACCAATTTGAATTATTAATTCGTTAATTTCATAATTAGTTATTTTTTTTTAATTATTTGATTTGTTTTTTTTCTGACATGCATAAGATAAACAGTGATCTTGGAAAGAAATTATCTTCAATGAATATGAAAACAGCTTATCAATTTTATTTACTAATAGACACAAATAAATCCGATAATAAACAACAGAAAACAATTAAACTTGAATTACAAGATATGCTTGATAGTGTATTGATTGAAATAACTGAAAAATTGGTAATCAAAATTTTGTTTTTTAATTGATGTAATGATGTTGTAATATGTTCAATCGTGTCAATGTTAATCATTTGCAAATAGGTACATTGTTTTGTAGTTACGTATGCCTAACCACCGACTGCTGCGACGAGCTATGTTTTGTGGTGGAGGAGTAAGCTGGAAGAAAGTTAGGGGAGGCCAGACCAAAACATGGCACAAGTCCATGAAGTCACTAACGAGTGGATTGAGTCATGTTGGTTGGGGTCCGCGAGAGGAAAGTTGTCAATGGTGAGAGACCTTGAACGACATGGCTAAGAATCGTTTGCAATGGCGCAGATGCATCCACTCTTTGTGTTCTCTCTAATTCTAACCTTCTGAATTCCTCCTAATCTCTATCTTCCTCCTAAATTTATCTCACTGAATAATACTATTCGAATCATATCTTCCCTCCCTAATCTTCTCCATTGCTGCTAATAATTCTACTATCACTATCACTCTTAGATTTGAACTGACAAATGTGTCTCTGTGCTGACGTGGTATGTCAACCCGAACTGATGTACTTATGTTCGAAGTTCTGCGTTGTATCTGTCTGTCTACATTGTTTTGTGGATGAGACAAAAGATAATTTATGAATGAACCAATCATAATCAAGATAGCAAGTCTTGGATATTTTGGCGGAGAATTTATTTATTTATGCGGTTAAACAAGCAACATTTCGACATTAGAGTTGATGTGAGTTGATGGTGGAAATCTCCCCAATTCTAAATCTTAATCCTAATTCATCACGTTAATATACAACCCTAGTAAGTAGGCGACTATACTCTCCAGATCACTTTAGCATCGCTCAAAAGTCCTCATTACAATAAACTATCACTGTAATAAAATACACTGAACAAGTATTTTCATCCTCATTTGGAACGTTGTACGACTTTTCATCTTGTGATTCGTCATTAGTACAAAGATTTAAGAGTATCCAATCATTTAGTCAGCAGAATTTCATTAACTCACTAAAATGAAATTGATTGGTACAACTTATTTAAATCGTGAAATTGATTATTCAACTCAAATTGATTGTATATATATTAGAGTTAAATTCTTTGATGAATTTTCTAAAAATATGTTTTAAATGTGGAATATTTCTTAACATTTTACATGAAACATGTATGATATCTAAGAATATATATAAATATATATCGTTTTGTAGAAGTTGAATTTTCTGTGATAATCAGGTGTTATATTTTGAAATGAAACTGATGTGCAGTTGAATTTAATAGATTTGTTTTAAGAATTCATAAAAAATATTATCACACTGAAAGTTATCATCATGATATCATATATTCGTTAAGTCTAAAATATAAATATCCTTGAAATTTCGATGAAATATACCTACATAAGAGCAACTTTTTGTAAATACATGCTGATCAATTCAGTTAAGAAGAGAGAGAATCTAGCATGACTGACTTATTGTAGAAAATACTCTATTTCAAATATTATGAACAAAGAATTAAAAAACAAATTTATATCGAATTCACTTGTTGTATTGGTTGTTTGACATTACAGTTGATCAGTCTCTTTGGCATATGTGCATCCTTTACGGATTACCTCGATAATGCCTTTAGGTTTCTGCTAATAATTAGGAGAAATGGATAAGTGTTAGGAATGGAATCGAGGAAACGTGTTTCATCCTATTAAGGACTTATCTTTGTCTGGATAAACCTGTATCCTAAACTTGTAGTTCACTCTAGATTACAAACCAAGAACTATTTGCTCCGGCTGACTATCTAAACTCAATAGTTAAGTAGATAACACAATGGTGTTTGAAGTGAATACTACTGTCTTCTAGTTCTACTGTGCACACCGATTCCGATATGCACGTACATTCAGCTACGGACGAATCTCGAATAAGACGAGACGTGCTTCCTAGATCTCAATGCTGGCCACTAATCCACTTTTTATCACTGTATGTCTAGATCTAGAACGCCAGCTACATGAACAGAGAATAGAAATTTCCTTAGGCGAAGCAAGAAAGAACTTAATTATAGGCGATTATATAACAAGAACGAATAAATGAAAATGCTTACTAAGAACATATTCTCAGTGTATTTCGTGTGATCATTACTAACTCCCTAAAAAATTTTTGCAAAAAATGTTCTCCCTTTTTTTTAAATTTTAGTTGGATAAGCCGTTATTTGCAGTGAATAAAAATTCAACAATTTACAAAATGTTGAAAAAAGATAAAATTTATCCGAAAAATTATTTTATCACAATAGAAAAAGTAGGTTGTTGGCAAGTTACATAACTATAAAGTGTTAACTGATAAGAGTTTTAGACATTAACACTTAAGCGCCGGAGAATCGATCCAGAGCTTAAACAAGACTTAAGGTCCTAAGTTCGCTTCCTGCGAGTAGCAGGAGTCTTGAACGCGCACTGTTGATGAGTCCCATACAATGACAAAACGGCTATCCATTGCTTCTAGGTTTCTTGCGGTTGTCTAACAATAATTCATTCATGATTTCAATGTGTAGAAAGTGTTTAGTTAATTTTCAATCAAAATAGTCTATTAAAAGATAGCGAGGAGCATTACATCATAATACTTGTTAAATAAAATTGCTT